ATAACACAGGGCTGTTGAGACTGTAAAATATGCTGCAAAGATTGGATTCAAAATTGCCCTCAGCACCTATAAACCAGTATATCTAGTCTTTTGCTGAAGATGGAGCATGGGAGTCAAGTAATAATTTTGCACATCTGAAAATACATGTTATGAAATCACATACACACCAGAACTGTGCACTTTTACAATTTATACATAAATGTGTGTATGTCTTGCTTAGCAAAAAAAAGTTAACAAAAGGATCAGATTAAAAGTGATTAGGAATTAGTCACAACAGAAATGAAAACCGTTGGACTTCTCAGGCAGTGAGAATAAAGGGGCCACTCATGTGATTTTGTGTGCAGCCAAACTTGTGTAATGTTGACATTAACTCAGAATTTGAGAGAGTACTGTCCTGGAAGCATTATTGTTTATTGATTTGCTTTATACTTGTGCTAATAATGTTTAAAATTCTGCCTGTTTTAAAATTGTAGGTAAACACTCCTTTTTCAAAGACAATTAGGGTTAGATTAAACGCATAGTTTTAAGATTTTGGAAGGAGTGTCATGATATTGTTGCTAACATAAAATACAGGTCGTAGTTGAATATAGGTGAGATTATTTAAATCATATTTATTTAAATAGCTGGTGTAAAGATTTTTAATGCATGATTTACATGACCTAAGGAAAAAACCTAATCTCAATAATGGATTTCAGTAAATGTTTCCCTCGCACTTTGCCCCATGTATCTTGAAAAATATTGTAAATCTGAACACTAAAATATGTTAATGTGCAATGCTTCTGCGACAAAAGCATTGTCTCTCTGCACCGTATCCCTCTGCTTTTTTGGCTCACCTTTACCTACATGATTCTAGTTTCTCTCAGCCATTGTCCTTATATATCATGTTACTTTAGTCAGCTGAGAAAAAGAAACTGAAAGCCCTGGACTTGAAGTGGGAACTGGTAATTACTGTTCATTGCTGGAACTGACTAGAGCCATTTTCATGAAATGGAAAACTTAAATGAATGTGTATATTTGATTGTTAAGTAACACAATCTGAGTAGGTATGACAGAGTGATGAATTCATTCTCATGAGATTCTAAGTAAGTTTGGTTAGCATTTGGAGATAAGATTTACTTTTCTTTTAGAGAGAAGTGAAGAAAAATGTGCATTGAAATCTAATTGTTCTCAAGTAGATTCAGTGAACTAATGGAACTAACCATCTCCACTGAAAGCTAATATCAGCTTTCTGTCATATAGGGTGGGGTGCATCTGCTCTTCCCTTTTAATCATTACATCTCTGTGTTGCATTTATGATGTATGTGTGTTTGGGCATGTAAGTTGCCTGTTAACTTATGTTGACTCCGTAGGACAGTGGTTCTCAACCTGTGGGTTCCCAGATGTTTTGGCCTTCGACTTCCAGAAATCCTAACAGCTGGTAAACTGGCTGGCATTTCTGGGAGTTGTAGGTCCAAACACCTGGGGACCCACAGGAGGTTGAGAACCACTGCCATAGGGTTTTCTTGGGCAGTGAATATTTGGAGGTAGGTTTGCCAATTAATTCTTCTGATATGTAGCCTTCAGCTCCTAATTTATAGTGCCAATCAGTATACAATCTACATTGTGATGGAGTGATGGTATTGCTTTGTCAGAAGTTTTGTGGGCTTCTTTTCCCCCAGTTTAGGGTTCATTGTGACTTAATCCAGAAATCCCTGGAGGTGGGAGGCCACCACATGATCCTAAAACTTGCCCAAAAATGGATTGTTAAAGACTGATTAATTATCCAGAATGTTTGGATTCAGGGAGGCTTTCTTAAATATGTTTTCATAACAGCCTCCTTCAGACAAATTGGAATTCTGCCTTGTTTTAGCTTTAACCATCCCCTTTACCCATTCAGTTCATCCAACTCTAGTTTTTTTTAAGAAGCCAGGAATAAAAAGGATCTAACCTACATGTGATGGCTTTCACCTCTTCAAGAGTGCTGTCCACATCCTTGGGTTTCACAAACTGAAAAATATCCACTGTCATTGGACAAAAAAGGGCCAAAGTTTCATCCACTGAACAGATCTCAGTGAATTTTACCTGTAAAGTGTTGGGAAAGTGCTTCACAGTAGTCTGTTGTGTGGCCTGGATTGTCCTCACTTGGACCTGTGTATAAAAGAAGTCTAAGCAATCTGCACAGGTTCCAGTGGTCAACTTCTTGCAGCCTCAAATACAGACAGATAATAAATGTTGCCTTTGCTACCTCAAAACAACAACAAACAAAAGTTCAAGAACTGTTTCTCCAGAAAAATCTATTTTCAATTACTTTTTGGAATAAAAATAGATTTCTCTACTATACTTGGAGGAAGATAGGAAAGGGAGATGCCAGTGTAGCCTTTCCAAGAAGGGAGGTCCAGATCCTGGGACTCACCACTGAGAAGGCTCTATTTTCTCTTTCCATCTACGAAACATTAGAAATGTAACATGCTTGTTACATCATGGGTAATATACAGTAATTGTTACTGAACTGTTTTGGAGAAATTCAATGCAGAATCTCAAACTTGAATCAGTGTAACAAATGCATCAACTGAATGACAGCAAATTTCATACCATGCTGAAACCAGACTTCACATATACTGTTTGAATTTTTGAAAGAAAAAAATGTTGCATGTGATAGGAAATCCCAACCTGTGGCTTTTAGTGTGTGAGAGCTGTTTCATACATGAAGCTTCTAATGACAAGAATCTCCTTTCTCTTCTCTGATTACTCTGGCTCTCGGCCAGCATCAGTAGTTGCAATGAGCAACAACTTCCAGCAATTTTGCACTTGGAGCATCAACCAACTTTCATTTAACATGGGATAAACCCACATTAGTGCATATTGGTCCTTTGTGTAATGTGGATGCCATGGTATCAATTTCACCTCCACATCGTTTGACCTGTGTAGATGGGCCCTTATCCAAAGGATTAACCTTCACATTTCTGAATTTCTTAGGTGAGTAGGCATGGTTTCAGGTTTAACTGATAATGAGTCAAAGAGACAGAGAGAGATCCCTTCCTAATAAACAAAATCTCTTTCCCATCATAGATTGGAAAGAAAATACACATTTTCTGAACCATCCTTGGTAATGCAATGCAAACATGCATTACATAGAGATTATTTTTCACCAGGAAAGTTTAAATAATAAAGGAGAATTGTAGGTTTTTTGTTTGTAAGGCATATGATTGATTGTTTACATTGCTTAAGTTGGTGCAAGAAATTTTATCCAATGTCACCATCTCACTGGATTGAGAAGGAGGTTTTCTTAGCCTCTACCTTAAGGTTCATGTTGTTATGTCCAGTCTTTGTACAGGGCAATCCCTGTATCCACGGAGGATACATTTTTGAACCTACAATGGAAAAAGAAAACAGTGACTAATAATGAAGCCTATTGAAATGAATTACTTCTGCCAGAGATTATCATAAAGTTGCATGATAGAAGATTTCTAGCAAGGTACCCTCTTTAGGAGTTTGCTAGGTCCTCTAAGACTACTCTGTGGTAACTTCAAGTGGAAAAATGTCAGTCATCTGGAAAACCTAAAAAAAATCCTAGAAAGTACATATTTTGTTGGATGGAACTAAGTGACACTTGTGGGGCTAGTCCTGCATGTGCAGGGATCATGTTGTATTCTAAACACTTATCTTTAGATATGGAGATAGAGAAGAGCCCTCAGTGTTATATCTTAAACTAAATTCTATTGAGAAAAGGTATTTGAAAAAGTAAATTAACCTTCAGCATATCTACAGTGCATTGATCACAATTTAAAGAAGAGAATTACAAGAATCTTATTATGGACATATTTTTATTCATTTTAGCTCATCTTGAAATACATTTAGGGCACATAATTTTGAATAAATTATAAATAAGAGTTCTGACTACAGTCTGGAGAAATCAGAGTGATGCAAGTTAAGTACTGCGACGCTTGGCACTATAGGTCCTTCTCACTCCATGAGAATGCTCCATAACAATGATCTTCATGGTGCTGGCTTACAAACTTTAATTCTGATATATGGATTGTATTTCCTGTCATGATTAATCTTTTGCGAGATTGCTCAGTGTAATAATCTACATGTATGACACATTAATGAAAGGAAAACATATATCTCTCTGTTGGCCATGATATGGAAATCTTCATGTTCATCACTGAGATTTATCCTTGAAATTAAACCAAAGGTGGCTGTATCTTTACATGTTGCTTCTCAGCTTTCAATGTAGGAAACACAATAAGGGGCCAGATGGCCTGCCAAAGCAAAGTAATTCTTTATATTAGCTTCATTCCTCGTAGAGTCAACATAAGATCATTCCTAGAACAATAACTGCTGAAAAAGAAACTTTCTTTCCTTATGATTAATGCACAATAAAATATTTTTATCCTTATGTGTTTGGGGTGTAATTATCTGCTCGCTATCCACAAATTCCTATAAACTTGTTTTCTGCTTTCAGTACAACTCTGAAGGCAACATAACGCTGCATGCTTATTGGATTAATGTTGATTAGCTTGAAAGAATAATCACCATCCTTTTACCTCTTTAAAACCCCAGAATAACTCCAGCTCTTAAAATAACAGGAAGGACTATGTTATAATTTAAAAGCTGTCCCTTAATGTGGTCAGTTCTTTGTCCTAATTCCAAAAAGGATTTTAATTAAGATGTCAAGTTCCATAGTAATAGCAGTCCTGCTTAGTGTAATAGCATATTCGAGAACAATCAGTGCTAAAATGCCATCTTGCTTGATTAAAAGCTCAATCCAATTCAACACTAAGTTACAAAGCCAATAGAATAGTCAATATATTGCCTTATTGTCATAATGTACTCAAAAGATAGATCTTTTTCTTTAACTGTAATAGTTGTGACTCTTTAAGTACTGCTACAATTATTTTAATATAGTATCCAAGTTTTATACTTTTTTTCCTAAGTCTAAACTCCATAAATAATATATTGATAAGCTGACGAACTCTTGTTCTCCATTTCATTATCCTTTATTTTAATCTCTTTTCTAGGTCAATGTTCGAGTTACCACAATGGATGCAGAACTGGAGTTTGCCATCCAGCCTAATACAACAGGCAAACAGCTGTTTGACCAGGTTAGTATGGATATATCTGCTATTGTCTTCCAGCATTTTTATACCTGAGTAGTTGACTTTTTCTATAGACAGAAAGTCTTAGAATGCATGTGTTTGAAACCTTGACAATATGCCTGTTTATTTATCGTGTCAGAAGCGAATTGAGGGCAGAGTTAAAATGCATTTAACAACCAAATATGCTTGTTGGAAAAGGCTGAAGAAGGGATCCTGAAACTTTAGATAGGTTGGTGGACACGCTCCAAACTCTATGGGTGAATTTTAGGCACACTCTTAAAATGGCTTTTTTTGTGTGTGTCAGGAGCAAGTTGAGAAACTTCTGGTGTGAGAGAATTGGCTGTCTGGAAGGACGTTGCCCAGGGAATGCTTGAATGTTTGATGTTTTACCATCCTTGTGGGAGGCTTCTCTCATGTCCCCGCATGGGGAGCTGGAGCTAACAGAGGGAGCTCAACCTGCTCTCACTGGATTTGAACCACTGACCTGTCAGTCAGCAATACTTCTGGCACAAGGGTTTAACCCACTGCACTACCGGGGGCATCCTTAGCTGCCCTTTGAGATTCACACTCAGAAAATGTCTGCCATAATTTTTGTTATTATTTTTGTGGTATTGTCTTTGCACTTTTTGTATTTTGCTTGTTTGTACCCTTGCATGCTTTGTGAGCTGCCCCAAGTCCCTTTGGGAAATGGTGGTGGGGTATAAATAAAGATGATGATGATGATGATGATGATGATGATGATGATTATTATTATTATTTTGTGGACAGTCATAAATCACACAATGTATGTATGTGTAATTATGTTACTTTTCTGAATTGACAGTTTCTGCTTCATTGCTTGTTTCACAGAGCATGGTTCTCAGGCAAGTGACTTAGCCAAGAACTGAAGTTTAGAACAGAGACAAAGTCTGAGCCCCAAACATATCTGTCCTCATAATGAACTGGGAATGTTCAGATAAATAGACGTCATGAGCACTGGTGGTGAAATAGACACACAACCAAGGCACAAAATACACCATATGTAGAAAAAGGGGAAAATGCATGGGGTCCATAAAGTCTCTTTACCATTTAAATGGTAAAGAGATTTCAAATGGTAAAGAATAGAGTTGAAAGAGACCTTGTGGGCCATCCAATCCAACCCCCTGCCAAGAAGCAGAAAAATTGCATTCAAAGCACCCCCGACAGATGGTCATCCAGTCTCTGTTTAAAACCATCCAAAGAATGAGCCTCCAACACACTCCGGGGCAGAGAGTTCCACTGCTGAAAAGCTCTCACACTCGGGAAGTTCTTCCTCATGTTCAGGTGGAATCTCCTTTCCTGTAGTTTGAAGCCATTGTCCCACACCCTAGTCTCCAGGGCAGCAGAAAACAAGCCTTCCCCTTCCTCCCTATGACTATCCATTGCATATTTATATATGGCCATCATATTCTCCAGACCCTTGATCATTTGAAATTTTATGGACACCCTGTATTACCCACAAAAGAATAAATCAACTCACATTTAATGCACTCCTGCAAAATGCACATGTGCTGCTACCTCCTTTAGTGTCACCTTCCAAACATTGCCTATCACTCCTTCTAATCTCCCATATTTCCTACTCCCTTTCACCCTTTCACCCTTTCACTGGGTTTACCCTTTCACTGGGTGTGGTTGAATGCCCTTCAAAAAGAAGCCCTGGGTTATAGCCATCTACCACATTTATTTGCTGAAAACACCTCTGCAGCCTATTTAGGGTCCAGCGGCATTATTTATAGAAATGATGGTGCTGACAAGTCATGCTTGTAGTTCACCAGCCTTCCTAATTCATTTTTAAAGTCTTTAAAACAATTATGAGGAGCAGTCTACTTGGCAGACAGCACTGTGGGATTCATATTCTTAAAAATCTGCATCTCAGATAATTAAGGGGAATAAAGAGGATGCTTGCTGTCTCTTTTGGATAACAGGAAATGGAAGGAAGCCTTTGACAATAAAATAAAGAATTGCTTTAAAGGCATTAGGGACTTAAAAGTGCTCAGTATCAGAGGTCGTAATGTGATGCTGTTGGATCAAAACTGTAATATTCAAAGGATAAAGTAATAATGTGTATTATTTTGTAACTCAGGTGTGTCGGACATGTACATACCGAAATAAAAGATAATCCTTTATTTTTAAAATTGATAAAATAAATCAATGTTGGACTTTTTCTGTTATGACACTGCAGTGGTTTTTTTTTCTTGCCCACCATTAACCTTTCCTGAACAACAGGTAATCAGTTAATAAAAGCTGGTTGATTAATTGGCTGTTAATGAATTATATCTACTGTCCACGTACATGTTCTTTTACACTGAATCAACATATGTAATTGTGGGAATAAGTATTAATCATACTTAAACTACTCAGCATCTGCCATTACAGGGAGATTAACAAATGGGAAGAAGAAAATACCCTGTAATAATGAGGAAGTGGTAATGACTTAATAGTCTGTATCCGAAGAGAACTGTGAAGAGACTTAATGTGTTTGATTTATACACTTTGGAAATTGATTCCAGTTTTGTTATTGTATATGGTCAGCAGGGACCGTTCATTTTGTAAGTGGAAGGTCTATCCTATCCTGCTTTCAACTTGAGATTTTTTTCAAGGATTTATTTGCCACTTGTAGCATAATATGGGGAGATTAAGAAGGCCTGTAAACATGCCTGAATATGAGGAATGGGTGTGAGAGAGGGGTGCCAGGGAGTGATCCCATTTTGTCTTAATGCAGTGATTGCAAGCAAGTGGAGGTATTTTTTCAACTGTGACCACTTTGGTATCCTTTTTGAGGGAGAGGCCCACCTGGCAGAGCTACAGTTATAAGGCATATATATGGGGTTCTGGGTTTGATAGTGGAATAATCAATGTACCATATTTGTGTTGTTGTGTTATCTTTAGTTAAGAAATTGGAAACATTATGCCTTATTAAAAGGCATGCAATTGTTTCTCTTTGCTATTTCAGGGAATACTTGTTTAAGTGGGGTGAGAGGGTGCGTTGTCAGGGTGAGGGAAAGTATTGTATCAAAGATCAATCACTTAAACTTTTAACCAGTTTTCAAAGTGAAGAAAGGAGATTTTGTTAATAAATAACAAGAAGTTGGCAGTCCATTATTTGCAAGTGTTTTAACCCTTTGTAAGCAAGGGTTATCTAAGAATGGAAGGATCACAGCAAGTTTTTTCTTCTCACAGAGATCCTGTAGACTCAGGGCCTATCTACGCTGCCATATAATCCAGATTATTAAATCTGATAATATGGATTTTATATGGCAATATAGAAGGGGCATCAGAAGCCTGGCAGAGCAAGTTGTGGGGTTCACGTTCTGCATTCCTTATGGAGGAATGCCTTGATGTTATTCTTTGTCATCAACATTGTCTTCTTATTCTCCTGTTAATCCACACAGCCGAGGAACTGAGAGGTTACTAGCAGCAACCTGCTTAGTGGAAGAAGCTACAAAACAAAGTTAAATTTCAGAATTATCTTCCAAATTGGGACATTGATTGCATCCTACATACTGTCTCCAAAAGTGTAAAGTTCAGACCGAAAATTATGGGCCTTCCATAGTTGGCATGGAGCTGTTCTGGTTGGGAAGGAAGGGGGTATTAATCAGATGTATTTGAAAAAGAGCAAATTGGAGAAGCACAGTTTAGACTACTGTACTGTTAGTATTGTAACAAGTTTGCAGGTTCTCTATTAGTAGCAACATTAGCAGGGCTATAAACCTTGCCCTAAGGGTGCCAGGAGCAACAGAGTAGAACAGAAGACTGCATGAATAAGCACTAATTGTTGTATCAGGAGGAGGCAGCCTTTGATCTCTATCAGACAGTAATTATTTTTTATATGTAATGGAAAACAATAAGACTTATTTTAATGGGTAATAATAAAGCAAGATCAGCAGAATCGGGGGAAGGGGGTTAAATATATTATGACAGTGTTGGAGCAGAACATGAATTGCCTTGGCCCAGAAACTATCAAGATGTTTGGAAAGACAACACAGTACTGTTTTTCGAACATTTATAATAGATTAATTTGCCTTTCGGATGCTTTGGAGTCAAACTCCCACAGTTTGAATCCAAAGCATCTGGGAGCTGGAAGTCAGAACAACTGGAGGATCAAAAATGCAGATAAAGCAGTTGCCCATGAGATATTTTCTATCTGTTTGGATGCAGGTGAAAGCTTTCATCCTTTGTGGGCTGTTAAAAGTGATAGTTTGGCATATAGGTTTTGTAGAAATCTGTAGTAAGAAATTAAAGTGGTCAAAATCCCATTGGCTGTGTTCAGTTCTAAAAACGAAGTCTTATCTTTGTTTGTAGTTTAGGAGTTTTCTGATTTCTTGTTACTTGTGTTGAAACACCACAATCTTTTTAGGATTGTCCATATTGCTCCTGTATAAAGATTCAGTGAACGCAAAACACCTTTGATACAAAATCATACCATGTAGGGCTCTCTTACACTACACAATAATAGCATTGTTATTCCACTTTACTTGCCAAGGTGAACTCCTGGGTTCTGTGGTATTGTACTCATCAAACTTCAGTCCATAGGATGTTGCCAATGCAATTAAAGTGGGCTCATGTTTTTGTGTTGTGTAAAGAAAAACCTAGCCATAGTTAGAGCAAGATGAAGAGGCAAAAATCCTAGAGGATTCCGTAGGACAAGTGGAGCAATAGTGCTGTAATTCTGTATTATAAAAGGGTCCCTAATCTTGAAGCAGACACATCAGTAAAAGTGCCATACTGTATATCAGTTTTTTAGGGCAGGGTCTTTACAACATTTCTTCCTTTTGAATAAGTATTTTAATCTACTAGGCCTGAGAAGAACAACAGATAGTTTTCTATCACCATTTGCTGGTCACAGCTGCTCATGTTTTGATGGTGTTCTTATGAACACCAGGATATTTCAGCACATTGCATTTGCAATAATCCCCTCGCCCCTCCAAATAGTGCTCTTGTTTTAACATAATTGTTTTAGGTTACATACCTTTTTTCCCTAGTCTAGACTATATGGGGACACCATATGTGTCTAAGAGAGTCTTCAAATGAAAGGAAAGGCCAGGGCAAATGGAGACCAGCCAACACTGGAAGGAAAGTAAACTACTACTGGGGTGTGGGTGTTTGAGGCTTCCATGTCCGAGATCCAGGTTTTAATCCAGGTTGTGGCTGAACTCTCCAGGGTGCTGAACCCTCTTACTTAAGTGGTTTAGGGAAGGAGGATACTTGAAAAGCCAGCAAAAATCAGAGGGGAGGATAGGGAAGCATTTATAAAAGCGTACATGCTTTCCAGAGTAGTGGAAGGAAGCATGACAGTTAATATTAATTTGTATCTGTGCATGGGAGTGATTTATGGTTGTGCTTCCTGTTTAATACAAATGAATGCCTGTGAATTAATTTTAGAAGAATTTGTTCAGAGGTGGTTTTCCAAAATAGTGTCTTGCTGTTAAACATATTTTATGTTGGACCAGTTATTGTAGATTCAGATGAGCATTTATTGTTTTCTTTTAGCTTCCTCGTGGTAACTTTTCATGAAATGTTGCTGTATTAAATTTCATGGTTTCCCATTCTCCATAAGAGTCCTTTTATGACTGTGCCCACAGGTACAAAAAAAAATGAAGATCCCTGGCATATCACTAAACAATCTTCTCTCTAGCTGTTCCATTTAATTTAATTTTGGCACAAGTCAATCCTCACTGTTGATCAACAGCAATCATCCTATCATTATAGTAAGTGTGCCTTTAGTTAGTTGTGGTGACATTGTTTAATGGCAGTAAGTTAAGTGTCTTTCAACTAAATTTAATCCAGTTGAAAGTATCAGAATACATTTATAATCATTAGATTGCATGTTTATTGAGACATGATCAGATCCACATTTCAAGTCTTCCCCAAGTAAACAACACAATTCCTAGAGCAGTGGTTCTCAACCTGTGGGTCCCCAGATGTTTTGGCCTTGGACCCAGAAATATTAACAGCTGGTAAATTGGCTGGGATTTCTGGAAGTTGTAGGCCACAACACCTGTGGACCCACAAGTTGAAAACCACTGTCCTAGAGTATTAGGTTTGAGTAGATATCAGAAGAGCTGCCTTGCCAAATGCTTTTAATAAAGTGGATGTACATAAATGGAATAAGCCATGATGATTGATGATCAAAATCTGAATACCTGTATAGAGCTGGCTATGCAAAATTACTTGCGGAGGAGATGTATGCAATGCATATAAACATATCTCAATTCCAAAAAGGAAGTTTTAAAATGAAATAAGAATTTTCACTATTAAAGGGGGGAATGTAGGTTATACTTAGTAGATCTGTGTTCATAATTACATGTCTGCTGTTAGGTCAGCCAATGTTTTGAAAGCAATTACAGTGTTCATTAAAAAAATTATCAGATCTGGAAACAGCCAGAAAGCTCAAGGACCAGAAAGGATCATTAATTGTGCTCATGTTGTTCTTGGGGATGGACTTAAATGGTCATGGGGAACATAAATTAACTTTAATTGGATTAATATTACTAAGACCAAAATATGTTGTTTCTCTTGGTTTCAAAATAAATTCTGAACATGGAAGTCTTTTCTATAATTGATTTTATATGGTTTTCCTTTCTGATATTGTCTGGGCCCTAAACATAGCATTAGAAACAAGTTTCAATATGCAGATTTTTAACACAGGCATCGTGCAGTAGAGAAAGTGTATTGATATTTTTATATCCTTATTAGTAATTATTTGAGTACTTTCCAATATTACTTTCTGTAAAAGGGTATTAAAGACTATTTCTTTAAAGGATATTTGGGCATATCTCTTTTTTTTTTACTATTTTTACTCTGAAGTTCTTTGTGGGGATATTGTGTGTACAAGTACTCTATTTCTATTCAATTATTTCATGACCTCTGTTCTTGGACCTAAATTCAATTTTTAGCCTCAAACATTAAACACATTGAAGCAACTGCTGAACTGGTAAAACAAAAAATTGTGTATCCCATTGATTTAGTGATATTGTCTAGGTCACGACCATCAGTCATATTCAGTCATAGGTCTCTCTCTTTTTTCATAAGAAACTGCAAGTTTTTTCTGGTGTGAGGGAATTGGACGTCTGCAAGGACTTTGCCCAGGGGATGCTGGATGTTTTCCCATCCTGTGGGAGGCTTCTCTCACGGCCTCGTATGGGAAGCTGGAGCTAACAGACAGGAGCTCATCCTGCTCTCCAGATTCGAACTACCAAACTTTCTGCCAGCAGACCTGCCGGCACAAGGGTTTAGCCCATTGCATCACCAGAGGCTACGAGTAAAATACCTGAAACATTTCTAGGCAATACTTATGAATCCAACGCTTGCGTTGTAAGTCCATTAGCTTTTGCAAAGAAGATACATTCTTACTTCTTGAAAAAAATCATGGGATTGCTTCTGCAGAAATACAGTTGCGTATTAGATGGAATTCCGAATTGCTATACTGAGACATCTTTTTTCTAAGCTATTTTCCCAATGGAGGAGTTAGCATTGTGACTGTTGTTTGAGATACCAGTCTCTTCAAACTTATTTCCAGTACTAATGAGAATTGCTTACAGAAAATGTTATAAAATTGATGGAGAGAGACTGTAGCTTTTCATATATTTTGCTCCAAATAATATCGGCCCTTGCTCACATGGTGATTGGTCACATGAGATGTGTAACAACATCTGGGAAAATAACAGGTTGTCTGCTTCTTTTTTTTGAAGCTTGCAAACAAAGTTATAGTTAACATGAAGCTCACAAGTATGAATCCAAGCTGAATGTTCCTTGAGCAAGACTTGATTTCTTTCTCCTCTTTCTGTTTTATATCATATGTCTATATAAAATAGTTACACTTACTGCTCCCGGTTCTAATGATTTAAAGCATTGTGTTTCTTTTTTAAAAAAATAAATAAATATGTGACTAAAGATGTATTTACCTATCTACCTTGACCTGAATTTTGTGCACTAATTATATTCTGTTGAAACAGTACACAAATGAATAATATGTCCTTTACTCAGCCTTTGAGACCATGTTTTCTTTTTGTCATTTGTATTGACACCAATATATGTGGATAATTTTTTTAAAAATTCCATTATCTTCCTTTATTATTTATTTCTTTCCCATTTGAACTGGATAATCTCTGTGCCTGGGATAGTTCCACCAAATCTTGGTGTTTAAGTCAGCATTTCTTTTTGTGAGTAGAGCAGTGCTCAATATATTTGGGCAACCAGTTCAATAAGTCAGCTTTTGCAATCATTGTAAATACTTTTTGACTGATGATGTAAGTTCTTTGCTAATCTTTCAGGTGGTCAAGACTATAGGATTGCGTGAAGTCTGGTACTATGGTCTTCAGTATGTGGATAACAAAGGATTCCCAACCTGGCTGAAGCTTGACAAAAAGGTAAACAAAATGTGAAACCAACTTTAATGAAAGACACACACATCCCCGAAAACCCCCCACAAATATATTTCTGCACCTGTATGCCATGCTGTTTAATGTATAACATTCCTTAGGGTTTATGATCTACATCCAATAAAAAGGAAACGTGCACCAAAATATCCACATAGCTTTTTTTTTCTTTAAAAGCTGTCCTTGTCAGATTTTAACAATGCCTTTAAATGGGTTTGGGCTTGAGCACCTTCAAGGCAAGACACTTTGCTCATATCTCTGCTTGCCCTTACAAATCAAATAGGAAGAGTTATTTATTATTTACAGCATTTATATTCCGCCCTTCTCACTCCGAAGGGGACTCAGGGTGGAGCACAACATATATACGGCAAACATTCAACATAAAACACACTATAAATATACATGAACATTAAAACCAGTTGTTCAGTGACTACAGTCTGTCGTCATTAGTCTGAAATGAAATGTTTAGGAGAGAGGGGCATTTAAAGCATTTTGTGTTTGTATCAGCACTTTGAATTGTGCCTGACTAACCTTTGGAAGCCAGTACACCAATTCAGGCCAATGCTCCTAAATATCTCTGTTGTGATTTTCAAAGATTAAACCTCTCAGCAGAAAGAAGGAAAAAGACAAAAATATCATTGAAAGTTTGTTTAGCTTTCTTGTCATTAGTGTGCCCTGACAAACTGAATACTTACTTAATTTCTATGCATGAATACTGACAAATAGAACTGTTTGTACATAGTCTAGTCTCAGCATGTTGTTGCCTACTCTAAACAGCTGGCTATTGTGTTTATTTCAATTAGCGGAACCTCTCAGTATACACTGCTTAATCTTCTAAAGGCTTTGCAGGACTAGTTGCCAGGCTGCCTAGAATGGACTATTCTAATAGATGAATTATAGCATGGAGATTAGTCTAGACACAGTCACTCTAAAGTTTTCGGGTTTTTCAAAATAGTAGAATAATCTTCTGAGCCATTATTCCCCCTTGTACAGTGGCTATTTAGACTGGTGCTGTGGTGAAAAAAAAATACACAGAAGTATTTTACTGTAGCCGCCTCCATACTAGCTAGTCACACACAAAGGTACTATTTTGTTTTTTCAGAGGAGACAAACAGTTGATGTCAGTCACCCTGAATAAAGTTATATATAAGAGATTTTCCCCTTCCATCCTTGCAAATATTCAGTATGGCCTACACAAAATACTGGTCTATGTTTGGAATACTGATAAACTTGGAATTTGTCCCTGTAACATTTAACCCTGTAACAAGTGAGCCAAAAAGACAGGCAAAAATCTACCGTCTTCTGTGTCTTCTCCAACTTTGTCTTCTATGTAATGAGATTTGAATTGCCTTAGAATATTGGGATGGAAGGGGACAAGGTTTCATGAAAAACAAATATGTCTACTCTTAGTGAAAAATCATAGACACAGGTTCAAGTGACTTTCTACAAACAGGTCTTAAAGTTACTAGTCATGTCTCTGAATGCTTAGTCTGGAAATTCTTCTGTTTGTTTCATGTAAAGTTGTGGAAGATTTTTTAACTCCACAGCATATTTTAACATTATTTTGCATGAAACTTCTTCAAGTTTTGTGATCATTTTGGTCCTCATCAAAATAATCTGGTGGTTCTTCATACATTTAAAAAGGCTACAGTTGATAAACAATTATTATTATCATTCATTGGAAAATACCCAGTAAAGTAGAATATTCCATCCAAACACAGAAATTACAGTATGTCTCTATATTTTGGTTGATGAGTTTCCAGAACATTTCATTACAATGGCTACCCCAGTCTATCCTCTCTCTGATCAAGAAATGACTGTGAAGTGGTTTTACATGGTTACTGTTCAGAGTGTGATATAGGTCAAAAGATAGATTTGTAATATCTGGTACACATTTATATATATTAGGGTGTACGTTTATATGTATGTATTTGTGCAACTGTTATTTTTATGTATTGTTGAAGGCTTTCGTTGCCGGAATCACTGGGTTGCTGTGAGTTTTCCAGGCTGTATGGCGATGACATTTCACCTGCGTCTATGGCAAGTATTCTCAGAGGTTGTAAGGTAACAGCCTCTGAGGAAGCCTGCCATAGGTGCAGGCGAAACGTCAGGAGATAATGCTTGTGGAACATGACTATACAGCCCAGAAAACTCACAGCAACCTTGTTATTTTTATGTCTTGTGTGTGCTAAAAGTTACTTTTCCTTTTGTTAATTTAAAAATGAGTTAGATTCCATATTATGTTTTTGGTTTCTAGTTTATTTTATGGTGTAGCATTGAACTTGATCAGTTATGTTCAACAGCATTGTTTTAGCATAAGACAGACAGTGTGAAGTAAAACCAGTTCCTGACAAGAAGAGATATTAGCCCCTATTATAGTAAAGCTATAAGATGAAAGACATTTAAAAGTACCTGCTATTGATAACCATTGGAAACTATAATGGTCAAAGAGTTTTAAGAGTCAGCAGGAAGTAAAAGCCAACAAACAAATGCATTTGCTTGAACATTGGATTTCTGAGCCTTAGTGAGGCAATTCTTGATCAGAGGGTGGATAGACAGTATTATACAAATAGAGAATTCATGGCATGAGATTTAGAGGAGATGAAGGATCAGCATCTCTGCGCTGAATCTGCACAGTTTACAAGATATAAAGTAACTTGTTTTTAAAATAAATTGGATTGTTTTCAACAAGCTTTTCTTTTCCTGCTGTTGCTTCCTGCCTGCCTCTCTTCTGCCATTTTCAGGTCTCGGCTCAAGAGGTCAAGAAAGAGAACCCACTGCAGTTCAAATTCCGTGCCAAGTTTTTCCCTGAAGACGTAGCTGAGGAGCTGATCCAGGACATCACACAGAAGCTGTTCTTTCTGCAGGTGAAGGAAGGCATCCTTAGTGACGAGATCTACTGTCCACCGGAAACTGCAGTTCTCCTTGGATCTTACGCCGTGCAAGCTAAATTTGGAGACTATAATAAAGAATTACACAAGGCTGGATATCTCAGTTCTGAACGCCTCGTTCCCCAGAGGTAAGAATTTGTATTGAGAGAGTTCTCAGACAAACCCTGGTTCTAGACTGTCATTAAAACTAGATTTGTACAAGTTAGTAATTACTGGTATGCTTCAGCAGACCTACTGGTAGTTGGTTGGTGGTGCTTATAACCTTTGTTTTGGGGGGGGGGGTAGCAAACATATCATAAGCAGAAGTAATAAGCATATTGAAGCTCATTTTATGTGATTTGGCAAAGCTTCAGAGGTGAATTTGAAATACTGTAGTAAACTTTTCCTAGAAGAGCTATACATTTCATGGTGTCTCTTTTCTTCATATGTTAGAGTAATGGACCAACATAAACTCTCACGAGAACAGTGGGAGGAGCGGATTCAGGTCTGGCATGCTGAACATGGTGGGATGCTCAAGTGAGTAATGGACTCTAGTCTCCCATGACAGTTTTAAGTTTCTTTTCCTTAAGCTTTTGTAAGTTTTTTATAGTATTTGCAGGACCCCCAAATTTGATTTCTTTGTTTCACACCAGGATTTTAGGTTAGAGCTAAGCAGGAGCCAGTAGTTTCAATAGTTTTTTTTTAAATGTCCCTTACTTTCTGGAGTTCTTTGTATTAATTTTATCAAGTGGGCAGTTGATAAGCATAGGCATCTAGTCTGACTGGCTGCAAACATGGAAATATCTTATTTATTTATTTATTTATTTATTTATTTATTTATTTATTTACTGCATTTATTGACCGCCGCTCTCAGCCCTAGGGCGACTCGCGGCGGTGCACAACATATAAAAACAGTTTACAAAAGGGCAAAACAGGAAATCAATACAACAATAATACACTATAATCTAGTTACACTAAATAATCCGCTCCGTCACATCATAGAATCATAACCAATATCGTAATCCGTATTCCGTTCCAGTTGTCAATTACCAGTTGCCGTAGCGCTCAGTTGAATGCCTTCTCGAATAGCCAGGTCTTCAGGCTCTTACGGAAGGACAGAAGGGAGGGCGCCTGTCTGATGTCAGCAGGGAGGTCGTTCCACAGCCGGGGGGCCACCACCGAGAAGGCCCTTTCTCTCGTCCCCACCAGACGTGCCTGTGAAGCAGGCGGGATCGAGAGAAGGGCCTCCCCAGACGATCTCAAGGTCCTCGTGGAGGAAGATCTTGAATATGTAATGGCAGAGGAGATATTAGAAATGGGAATTCAGACAAGAAATGAGTAAAATGGTGACCATTGTGTAGTTAGATGAAGTGTTCATGTGGTTTTCCATTATTTCTGCAAGCCCAATGAGTGTCTTTATCTTCCTACCCACACCTGTTAATAGACTATAAACTACTGGCATTGCCCCCTCCCCCCACCCCCCCCCCCCCCAATGTGTGTTGGGAAGTTGATGCTAACTGAGAGAGAAATAAGTTTGAATACTGTGAAAGCCACCCACTGCATGGCTATCAGCCTCCTTCCAGTAGACTCAAATCAAGGGAAAAGCTTTATGAGAACTACCACTCCTCTTAGCGTCCCCCCAGCAACAGCAAGGGTATCCCTCTGCAGCTAAACCAGGAAATCCCAACTGGATGGCCCCCCATGAGGATCTTCCTCCAGGGGCAAACCAAGAATGGGCAACTTGGATGTGCCTGAATAGACTGAATAGAATAGTGGGCAGATCAAAAGACAACCTGGCAAAATGGCACTACATAGAAGAATCCTCCACTTTGTGCAACCGTGGAACAAAACAAACAACTCTACATTTGTATGCTTTCGCACAGTTCCCTGCCTCATGCACAGAGGAAGAACTGTTTAAAGCAGGGGACCACAAACTTTTTAAATAGAGGGCCAGGTCACAGTCCCTCAAACTGTTGGAGGGCCGGAATATAATTTGAAAAAAATGAATGAATTCCTATGCACACTGCACATATTTTATTTGTAGTGCAAAAACACTTAAAAATACAATAACTAAAAAGAAGAACAATTTTAACAAATATAAACGTATTAGTATTTTAGTGGGAACTGTGGGCCTGCTTTTGGCTGATGAGATAGGATTGTGGTTGTTGTTGTTGTTGTTGTTGTTGTGTGCTTTCAAGTCATTTCAGACTTAGGTTGACCCTGAGCGACGGACGGGTAAATGACCTTGGAGGGCCATATCTGGCCCCCAGGCCTTAGTTTGAGGGCCCCTGCTTTAAAGGCACAGACAATGCGGTCAGTGTTGCCTGTTTTTGGTCAAAAATATTTAGCTGCATGTGTTCCCTCTATTTTATCAGTTTTATACTTATTTATGCAATATGTTTGACACAAAATGAATAAAAAATAATATTCCTACCAGTACTGGATTTCTAAATTAGTCTTAGAAATGTCTACTAATATTTCCTGTGTATGATTTTTCTATGGACAACCAGAGAGAGTGCCATGCTGGAATACCTGAAGATTGCCCAGGACTTAGAGATGTATGGAATCAACTACTTTGAAATTAAGAATAAGAAAGGGACGGATCTCTGGCTGGGGGTAGATGCCCTTGGGCTGAACATTTATGAGAAGGATGACAAGTAAGTTAGAACTTTATTTACTCCATTATGAAGTTGAAGAGTTGGTGTTAGTGCCAAATATTTTTTTTCTTACTACCTGTATTGTGTATTTGTATAGCACTCTTTATCGGAGCAAGTCACCTTGCCATTCAGAATAAGCGCTGGATGCAGTTATGCTGGAACGCACGTGTCCTCAAAGTGACTTCCTTTTGCTTGTCTTGAAGCTGTAACCTTTTTCCCCTTTAACTTATCTACCAGTGTGCCGCTTTAGAAAGGCAAACAGAGGTCACATAGAAGAATTGTATTAAGTGGGGAAATAAGGTGTATATCAGAGAGGTCGTGGAATCCACTTTTGGTGCCAAAATGCCTTTCCCATATGTAAGATTTATAATTTTTAATCCACCCCCCAGTGGGTGTTTACCAAATGTCATAACCAAGGCTAGAGAGAATCTGCCAGAGCCATGCAGAACTGGGATTTCAATGTCTGAACTAAAGGATGATTCAGAATCTAGGTGGTCTGAATGACCAGGTGTCCCACCACCCCTTCCTTTCCCCATGTGCTGTCTATAAATGGAGTACATTGAGGTCAATCCACTTCCCTGTACACTTAACATATGAATTATGAGCACTATAGGCAACACACTTAATTTGTAGAGATAACTCTAAAGTATGTTACACTGACTGTCACTACGCTGTGAACCATTTGTCTGCATCAGTCTTTAGCTGGTCAAATAGGGGTTAACCTGGAAACTAATTAGGTTGTGTCCTCTGGTGTACAGAAATTTGCAATTGATCTTTTTCAGTAGGTAGCTGTGGGATCCCTTAATTATGGAGAAGCAGGAGAAGAGCAGACTGGTAATCAGGAAATGAGAGAGATGAAATGTAATGAGAACAGAAAGTAATTGTTTAAAAAAACCAGCCTGTTTCTCTCTACATGCATGTTTGCTTAGTTCAAAGAGGAAGTGCATGGTCAGAAGCTAAGCAGTTTAAGAGCAAGAGCTTTGAGGAATCTGAAATACAGATCATGCTTGAAATTACGCCAATTATATGCCATTAATAATGTTTCTTTACTATTTGGATCCAAGATTAACTTTAAAGCATATAACCATGCACACATGAAATTTACAATCGGTCTATAAAAAATGTGCTTTACTCAAAGTTAGGTTAAGAACAATTCTGCATCCACCCACAATGCTACTACATGCCATCACCCATAAAACAAGGAGTGTCACTGTCGGTATTGCATGGGTGAAACTGCTTCTAATTTCTTGCATGACAGGCCTCTCTGTGTAGCCACAGTCATGCAAACAGGTTTTGCAAGCTGTATAGAGCCTGCAGAAAAGAACCTTTGCCTCCATAAAAGGACTGGGGGATGGGAAGACATGCACAACAAATGAATAATGCATAATCTTTACAACTTGAAATTAGTGGGACTTCCTCATCTCTATTTATACAATCAGGATTTCTGCTTCCCTTAAATCAATTAAATGCACAAAAAGAGCTGTAGGATCAGAATGCATATGGTTAATAAGAGAACTAAACAATGCCTGTTTTCCACAATGAAAGCAAGTTCCAGTTCTCCTATACGTGTTTCTTGAGGTAGTATTTTAAATGGTGGTTAGTGGGTTGAGAATATAATGTAATCTCAAATTTAATTTCATAAATTACATTTTCCAAATGAGATAAATACAGATGTTAAACTAGATGTATAATCCCTGTGGATATTATTAGAATTGCAAATGAAGCATATATATCAATTTACACTTTGAAATATTTAAGAGATGTGTTGTATATAAGTTAAATGTTTATTAACATCTTCAGTAGATATGAAGATATTTGCCTGTATGCTGAAACTGAAATGATGGTAAATTGTCATTAACTGCTATACATTTTTAACAAGAATCAAATCTGCATAGAAATAATGCACACGGCATGATTAAACTTCTATAAAGATAGTTTCCTTGAATTTTTCTAACACCACAATAATAGAAACAATAGGAGAATGGAGTTCACAGGAAGATGAGAAAAACTAACATTCAGTTCAGTAGTTAGTATTGTTACATAATTACTAAAGTAAATAGTAGCCTTAAGAGTGTTGGACTTTTACTAGCAACTTGGTCTACTTGGAGAATGAGTTTCATTGGTTGAGGCCTGAAAGGGTTTGGTCATTTTCTGCTGGCTGCTTTAATGCTTGATCCTTATTCTTCTTGTCTTATTATATTCAGGAAGGAGAGGATGCCTGGTTGAATCCTGTGAATTGTAAATTCAGATGCAGGATCTCTGAAGGGGCTACCTTCCCACTTGGGCCTAGTTTATAGCATATTCTGTCAGGATTTATAGATCTGTAATTGTTGCTAGAGACACAAGTAGCCTTGATAACTCGGAGCCCGTTTCAACAAATTGAGATGATATATAAATGTTAACAGAAAGGACAGGAGTCTTATTTTCTTCTGGTTCAACAAAAGACAATGGAATGTAGAGAAAGGGAGCAAAATAGGAAGAAAGGATTGAAGAAATGGTCTGTAAAGAATCTAAGTTTTGGTCAATTGAAAGAAGATGGATAGCAGCCTTTCTCAGTCCTCTTACCCTGGGGAAACTCTTGAAATAATTTTCTGACCTCAGGAAACTTTTATGTAAAATTACTGTATGCATCCAGTCACAATCTCTTGTGGCAACCCTAGCAACTTCTCAGGGAACCCAAAGTTTCCAGGGAATCCTGATGGAGAAATCTTGGTTTCATAGAGAGCTGAAAGTTCATAGAAAGGTTCTGGTGGGACACAAATCAGAAGCAGATCCACCCTGGAGAAGTTTAAATATTTAGGGAAATATCTGTAATAACCCCCACCCACCCGCATTTTCCTTTGCTAATGCACTACCTGGAACTTTTCTGTACAGGTGGCATTACAGGTCCTGATAACACAAGGCTATATTATCAACAGTGCAATTGGGGCAAGTGCTCCAGGGTTCTAATTGGATAGGGGACCTATGATTCCAGTAGCATTAAACATACATGCTACTGTTCCTGTGATATTGTCAAGAGAGACTTGCTTCTGTGGGAAGGAGGACTAAAGATCATTTTCCAACCCCCTTTGCCCAAGGGTTGGTAGTGTTTAGTATCCACCCTAGCCTTATTGTCCAACTCCATTTGCCCAAGGGCTGATAGTGTTTAGTATCTGCCTTAGTCCTGTTTCAAGGTATGGAACAAGTGAACATTACTATATAGGCACTGCTATTCTGAGACTCTGGCCTGGATCACACCAGCTGCACCTGAAAGGGAAACTAACACATATAAAGAAAGGCGTCCTTTTGAAGCTTCATGTCTCCAAACTCATTAATCCAACCTTAGGTCTTAGCCATAGAAATAAAAAGACACAGGGACATACCTGCCTGCATAGATATATTTCTGAATTAATCTCATTAACATTTAGATTATTTACTAATGGATTTAGAGGAAGTGTAAGGAGGAGACAGCCTTTCTCCTTTTTCAATTATTGTGATGTATTCTGTGAGGGTCAATATTTCCAAATGATCACAAAGTGTCAGTAAGTCAAGATGGCAAGACTGCAAAACAAACTGACAATATGTTCATTTTTCATTAGCATTGTGCCATCAGCTCTGACTACCATTTCCTGCCCAGAGTCAGTTGTATGCATGTGTGTGTGCATTTGAATGTATATAAAAATGCAGGACTGTAGTTATCATATACTCTGAAAGTATAATAAGTAAAATAAGAAATTGCATCAGTAATTGCTTTGTTTTACTGCAGATTACCCAGCAATATACCAAAACATTCTGATAAACACTGCTGTAGAGATTTAGCATTTCTTTACTTTTAATGTATTTATCATTGAAACAAATGTCATGCATCAACAAGGTCTTTAATTATATATAATTCTTTGTTTCTAGGTTAACCCCTAAAATTGGCTTTCCTTGGAGTGAGATCAGAAACATCTCTTTCAATGACAAGAAGTTTGTTATAAAGCCAATTGACAAGAAAGCACCTGTAAGTGTATCAATGATGAGCATATTTTGCTAAATAGAGAACATTAATTTCTGCATTTACAGTCATACTACTGCCATATGTTAGTAAGCATCCTTACATGTAATCATATAGATTCATAAAATCTTTGTTCTAGAGTGGGAATATATGGAATCATAGAATCATAGAGTTGGAAAAGACCTTGTGAACCATCCAGTCCAACCCCCTGCCAAGAGGCAGGAAAATTGCATTCCAAGCACCCCCAACAGATGGCCATCCAGCCTCTGTTTAAAAGCCCCCAAAGAAGGAGCCTCCACTACACTCCAGGGCAGAGAGTTCCACTGCTGAACAGCTCTCACATTTAGGAATATCTTCCTCATGTTTTGGTGGAAATTTTGGTATATGGAAAATTTGGTTTTCTCTCCATCTAATGTATTCTCAAAATACTTCAATTTTATTTATTTTTTACTTTTATGTGATATTTGTTTCTCAGGGACCAGAAGGGCAGTGCTCTATTAATTCTTTTAAGCACCAAGCCAATGCACTGTTTTCTGTATCTGAAGGAAAGGTTTCCCCCAGTTTTTCCAAGTCTACTTTTTTTCAGATAATTTGTGTTTGCACATTGCTTGCTATTTTAGGTATTGTTTCAGTTTAGTATGTGGAAAAATAGTGATTGCTGCTGACTTTAAATATAAAAACACTCAAGTGATCTGTGGGGGTGTGATCTCTTGTTCTACTTGCTCACAAGAACATACAGAGAGAAGAGTTCTGAATGTAATTGTTGGACAAACATGGGCATGATGGATGGTAGACCAGAAGCATGACGTTATAAATGAAACACCCTATCTGTCCAAATGGTTTCCCTTCAAGCCTCTATTTCCATGAGATAAATTGTGTTGGTGTTAGATACTGATTTTAAAACATTCTGAACACGCCCTCCTTCATCATGGATCCAAAACCTGCTCATGCTGGAAAACAGATTGGCATTTCATTTTCATTAAAAGCAAATATTCATGAGCCTTGAGCATAGCTTTTCTCGTACCAATGTCCTGTGAAAACTGGAACATTCTTTTACAACAAAAAACACATCAAAATTAGCTTAGCCTAGTGAGAAGCATTGTTGTCTATAGTCTGCTGTTTATATTTTTTACTGTGCTGTGTGTTTTGCTCTCTCCAGCTGCAATCTAGTGATGTGGCCTTATGATGCAGAGTGCTGCATGTAGAGCTCTGGGATGAACACCCAGGGAAGAGGGGCAGAAATAGAGTGTTCATATACAGACAGTCCCCAAGTTACAAACAAGATGGGTTCTGTGGATTTGTTCTTAAGTTGAATTTGTATCTAAGTTGGAACAGGTACATTTTTCAGTGTAACTCCATATATGCTTTTGATAGCATAACAAAGGGTTAATACCCTGTGGAGCCTTCAGTGGCGCAGTGGGTTAAACACTTATGCCAGCAGGACTGCTGACCAACAGGTCAGCAGTTCTAACCTGGAGAGCAGGGTGAGCTCCTGTCTCAGCTCTAGCTTTCCATGTGGAGACATGAGAAAAGCCCCCCACAGGACAGTAAAATATTGAACATCCAGGCATCCCCTGGGCAAAGTCCTTACAGATGGCCAATTCTCTCACATCAGTCTTTCAAGTCACTTAAGACACAGGGAAAATGCCCCTGTAATATTTGTTTTGCTGTCTGTGCCTCTATTCAGAAGATTTTGCTTCACCTTCTGGTCCTGTGATCATTGGATTTTGAAAAAATTGGAAACAAGGATTGGTAATAAAGCTTCTGTGGAGCCACCTTATCCCCATGATAACTCTTCCAGGAGTGAATTTCCCTTCCGAGGGGTAGATTTTCTCTCCTTTCCTGTTGTCTCACCCCTGTTCATAACTATGAGCCGTTTGTAAGTCAGATGTTTGTTACTTAGAGACAAACATCTGACTAAAAGAATTTGAAGTCCATTCCCATACCATTGTTATCTATTTAAGATATGCCCGTAATTTTAAAATGGTAGTGCTTTCTAATGGGCTTCCTCAAACCCCCTTATTTTGGGAGAGATAACTAGTAAAGAGTACTGAATGCTGAAATCATGCTTGAAAGGGATTAGAAGTGTGATTAGAAATGCTGCTGATCACAAACAATATTTGTCCTCCAAGATATTACTTGCATGGAAAATTTGAGGAGAAACACATCCATTTTCACAAACACATTGTCTAGGTTTTTGTTTCCCTGTGAAACTGAATCAACACTGAAGCTTCAGGAACGTTCATGCTAAATCTCCTGCAGTTTGGGCATTCTCTGGACCTCTTTACATCAGCCTAATTATTGGGCTTCATCCAAATCTAAAGTACTCATCTGTGAACACTGGGTTCACAGACATTCTGAAAGCATCATTATTTTTTGTGGAATGGTTTAGAAAAACAAATGGATGCCGTTTGTATAGTTAATAAAACTTGCCATGGTTAAAGAACTAAAAGTGAGCCAGTGCAAAGAATACTTAATATACTGGGAAGCTTAAAATCCTTAGCTATAAGCTAACTGAATTGTCTTAGAGAAGTCATTGTTTATCTCAGCCTAAATTACTTCATACAGTTGTTGCTGGGATAACTTGAGATACATCACTATGAGGTCCTGATGTAGAACTCTGATAAATGAGATGATGATAATATTTTTTTAAAAATTTCTTATCTGCCTCTCCTTGCGGCTTGAGATAAAATTGTTTTGCAGTTTCATAGAAATTTAGTTCACAAAATACAGGTTTGTTCTGATGACAATTAGTGTCTAGTTTATTCTGCTGCAAAGCAGAGTAATAGCTGTAAAACAAGTTGTTTCAGAAAAATCTGAAACCGACCATTAACTATACAAGAAATATCTTTGAACAGACTGACTCCCACTATCCCATCTCAGAATTAAGAGCTGGAGGTAAAACAAGAATACTTCACTTTAATATATGCAGAAACATTATTTACTGTTTTGTTGAAGAGATGTGCACATGCACACCCAACTCTTCACTCTTTACTTTCAAAAACCTGAGCATTTCAGGAAGTGGTGTTGTGGCAAAGTTCATGAATTATTAACCAATATAAGCTGTTGAAACATGTTACATTAAAAAACCAAGAACCTCAAACAACTAAATAGATTATCCACTGTGTTACTATCTGGATTTTCTATTACAAGGAACTAAAGATCAAGTAAGAGGTCTAGAAAAGCTGAAAAGTAAAAAAATACTTAGGTGAAATCCATGCCTATGCACTTTTTGACCTCGCCTTTGTATATCTTGGCATTTTTTTCTGCCTAGGACTTTGTGTTTTATGCTCCTCGTCTAAGAATTAATAAGAGAATCCTGCAGCTCTGCATGGGAAATCACGAGCTGTACATGCGCCGTAGGAAACCTGATACCATTGAGGTGCAACAGATGAAAGCTCAGGCCCGTGAAGAGAAGCACCAAAAGCAGCTGGAAAGGTATGGAAGTGGCTGGAAGGGAATATTGAGCTGAATACAAAGGTTGCTGCACTTAAGTCTATTGACCAACAAAAGTCAGAAAAGGTGGAGATAGGTAATTATGGTAAAATGATGGCAAAGAAATTTTAGGAAAAAATCAATGAATGTCATGCTTGGTTTTCTTACTACATGTATGTGTTCATACGAACAACACATTGAAACTAAGAAGGCCATAATGTGAATGTTCCTATTTCAAGGAATTATTGCAATATTAGGAATGTCTTTGATAATAGCATGGTAACACTGATCAAGAGAGATTTAAGCTAAAGTCTTGAAAGAATTGGAGATAATAGCTCAAGCATCAGCCCAAGGCAAGGTCTAAATACAAGGATGTGAATTTTAGAAAAATACCTGAGGGAGGGAATGGGATCCACAGAAAAACTGACAGGGAATTAGTATGTTACAACAAACCATATTTCAAATGTCTGTACACCAACACACAGTGACTATAGAAGTGTGAGAGGCCAATCTGCCTGCACACATCCTTTTAATTTTGTTTCTCGTTTCTTTGTATGGAAGCCTGTGGCTTCTAATCATTAAAGCCAACCACCCATTGATTGAGAAGAATGGCAGTGGGCTATGTAGCATCCTTTCATGCTAATTACTGAAAATATAAAAAAAACTGTTGGTTTCAGTGTAGATATGATAATATAGGTTAAGAAGACTGTGGGGTTCTTGAGCTTTTGCAACACTTTTTACCTTTATTTCTCATAGGCAACAACTAGAAAATGAAAAGAAGAAGAGAGAGACGATTGAAAAGGAGAAAGAGCAGATGTTAAGGGAGAAAGAAGAGCTGATGATGAGACTTCAAGAATATGAAGTGAAGACACAAAAAGCAGAAAAAGGTGCTTGCTTGCATTCATTCAACAGAAATGTTGTCAGAATCACTTAGGCATCTAGTCCTAGCTGTGAGTTTATATGCTGTGTCCTAAAATGTACTATTCTCTGCATATTTCCTGGTTGACAGTTATATGCAGACAGGAAAACATTTCCACAGAACACAGTAACTACAGTGGAGATGGCTTGTTTCCCTCTTAATTTTAGCCTTCAAATCCTGACTGAAGCTCTGGGAAGAGTTGTCATTAAGAGTTCACAATACTGGGATCAATATCCTGACTCAATATGAGGCAGCTTCCATTGGCTGATATCCTACATCAAGCAGGCAGAACTCTACCTTCAAATGTTTTTATCCTCCTCCAATTTGGTTACTTTCAAGGCCTGGAAGAGACCATTAATCCTGCTGTTTACTGAGTAGGGAACAATTCAGATGATTAAGAGCTGATCTTGGTTCATGGGGAGAAACAAGAGTGATCGCAGATGGAATGCACTCACCTTTCCTTTCCATCTCAGTTCAGACTGAATTGCCTTTCTCCCCATCCCAGGGCTTGATAGAAGGATTTGGAAAGGGTGCAAAGGCTAAAAGATAATCTTCTCCAAAAACAGACACATACAGACAGAATTACAAACATCTGACTTACAAATGACTCATGGTTAAGATCAGGAGTAAGACATGTTAGGATTTCACTTTAAAAACCTTAACAATTAAGTTTATCATTGAGGTGCACAAACCAGATGCATATGATTTAAAATGTTGAAACACATGGTTGTTAATTTCCCTGACAGGCCACCTGAAATGGCACTGGCTGCTTTCCTCTGTGGCCTAATTTGGGCATGAGATTGTGAAAACCCAAATGCATTCCAACCCATTATCCTCCTTTCAACCTGTATTCGTCTGATACTTTGGAATAGATGAGTATCCCACATTTGTATCTGACTTGGTGCAAATGATGCAACAATCTAGCTTCAAAGGGGAAGTGGCATGCATGCAATATAAAGTGTCAGATGCTGGAGTTCCAAAGGTCAGGTGTAAATATGCGTTGGCTTAGTTTCTTTCAGGCATCAATATTTCAGCCCAAGATTTCAATTGTAGTTCAATCTTTTCTTTTTCAGAGCTCTCAGACCAAATCCAAAAAGCCAGAGAGCTGGAAGAGGAAAGAAAAAGGGCTGAGGAGGAAGCTGAGCGTCTGGAGAATGAGCGTTTGGCTGCCCTGCAAGCCAAGGAGGAGCTGGAGAAGCAAGCTGTGGATCAGATGAAGAGCCAGGAGCAGCTGGTATGTATCCAGGATGTTTGAGAGATGAAGTCTTGTATTAATGTCAGAAAACAGGCTTATTAGAATACTATATTACAAAGTAGTGAGAAGTTACTGGCCAAGTCAGTACAAGCTGGAATGTGTCCAAAGAAGGGTGACCAAAATGGTAAAAGATCTAAAAACCAAGATCTATGAGGAGTAACTTTGTGAGCTGAGTATAAGCAATGATTAAGAGGGAACATGATAGCTATGTTTTACTATTTGAAAGATTGACTTATTGAGAAAGAAGCAAGCTTGTTTTCTGCTGGTTTGGCACCTGAGATACAACAGATTCAAAGGACTGGAAAAGAGATTCCACCTAACCATTTGGAAGAACTTCCTGTCAATAAGACTTGTTTGACAACAGAATATGCTTTTAAGCAAAGACTAGATGACCATCTGTCAGGAATGCTTAGACTGTATAGCAGGGAGTTGGATTGGGTCACCCTTGTGGGTTTTTTCCCAACATTATGTTTCCAACTTTATGCACGAGTATATTTTTTGAATAACATTTTCAAAGCATTTCCTAATATAATAATCATCATCATCATAACCATCATAATCTTTATTTGTACCCTGCCACCATCTCACCAAAGAGACTTGGGTGGCTAGCAAAGCACTCAAGGTACCACACATTAAATAAAATTACATATCATCAAAACAATACACAATTTGACTGAATACAAAAAATGGACAAGCAACACCTCAAATAAGTTACAGGTGCCCTGCCTTGATGTAAGTAGAATGCCCAGAACCTCCTTTTTACCTGAACTGGTGCAGCTGGTGTAACCAGCCAAACTTGGATGAAACCACTCTCTGGCTAACATTCCCAACAAGGCATCTGGCAGCAACACCCAGATCCAGAAGGAATCTTTTATTGAAAACTTGATTTTTCAAGGGGAGCACACGCCCCTGTGAAATTGCCTATTTCTCTAGGTCAGTTGACTAGATATTCTTCAACTTCATCTGAATTATATTGAACCTTCTCTCTGTCTCTCTTAATCAAGGCTACAGAGCTTGCAGAGTACACAGCCAAGATTGCCCTTCTGGAAGAGGCAAGGAAGCGTAAAGAGAATGAAGTGGAAGAGTGGCAGCACAGGGTAAGTGTGGAGAAGTTACTTCTTCAAAGGTTTCATATTTTGATTGTCTCCACAAATCTGCTACAATTTTTTCACATTTGAGGGTTTAACTTTCCAGGATTTGATTATTTATGGGTTTGATCAATATGGTCTCTCCCAGAATCTCTAGGTCCTCCAGCACAACTCTATGATCAGTGTCTCCCGGAAGTATTTGGGGTTTTTTATTTGCAATTGTCCCACTTTTGCAGGGGCCTTGTGTCCCTAATGTGTTAGGCTACCTATCGTATGATCTTCTGTTTCAGTGCCATTAATCTGAGAATCTGGGTGGCACTATCCCTTATAGAACAGTATATTTTGTTACATTTTCAGTCATAGTAACATAAGAGGACCTATGCTTGATGAGCTGGAAGATTTATGATAGGGATAGAAAACCATTTGGACTTCCAACTCAGAGATGCCTCACCTAGCAGGACACAGAGAAAGGGATTGTGGACCTTGGAGTTAAAGTAGTTCATCATCCCTGCTCTCCCCAGTCCAGGGTACCTGCTCATACGGTAGCCAACCAAATGCTAATGGGAAGTTATTGCAGTATCTTCCAAGCAGCTGAAAGTAAAAGGCATTCTGTCACTGGTAGTAGTATGCATTGCAGCCATTGTGACTGATGGACTTTTTCCTATCTGAAAATAAGTGCAAACCACAAAGTAGTTAAATGCTAATTACAGAAAAAAAAGTGAGGCTGTTCAATCTGGTATAATGGCCTTGGACTGCAGTGTAGGTTTAGAGTTTTGTCTGTTTGCCTTCACTTCTTGAGTCACAATTCTCTGCACATTTTTCCAGGAATGACACAGTTTAACTAATGGGACTTGCTTCTGAGAAGACATGCCTAAACCTTTGCTGTCAGCACCACACAAATTATTTTTTTTAAAAAAAAATCTGCTGCAAAGTAACAGCAAAGAATAAACTATTCTGCTTCAGAAAATCTTATTTTAGTATATCCCTTTTGGAAGAAGTCTTCCATGTTTTGCATCACAGTTAGCTAAAGTTGTAATATGAGTATGCTGTAATAGTTTGCTTGCTGGCTTCACTTTTATAGGCCAAGGAAGCACAAGAAGATCTTGTGAAAACAAAAGAGGAGCTACACCTGGTGATGACTGCTCCTCCTCCTCCACCACCACCACCACCAGTTTTTGAGCAATTTAATTTCCATGTCCATGATAACCTTCAAGATGAAGGAACAGAGTCCTCTGGCTACAGTGCAGAATTTTCCAGTGAAGGCATATCGGATGATCGCAATGAGGAGAAACGGATTACTGAAGCCGAGAAGAATGAGCGTGTGCAAAGACAGCTGCAGGTAAGGTTTTCAGACTTCCATTGATGAAAAAGACAACTTACTCAGGGGATTGTTCAGATATTTCATTGTTTGGCCTAAGTTTTCCAGCGATTAAGAGAAATGTAGCATGTTGGGATAATCTGTGCACAACAATACTGTGGAATTGTCAGGCTGCTTTAATAGTTCTCTCCTACAGTTGCTTTAAGACCAATAGGAAAAGGGCCAAGGGAATAGATCCAGCAGATGATGCTTCTCCCTTCTCAGAATCCTGCAGAACAGGATATTTAAGAGTTATTATTAACATGTATATTTAAGAGGAAAAGCTTGGGAGGAAGGAACCAAATACCAGAAGACCAAATTGAGTGACTGAGATCAGCATTAGTCTTGGTTATTGAAGTGCTTGAGTGTCTGATCTCTCAGAAAAAAGAAAAGGGTAAACATTGTGGTTTTGGGGGGTGGGCAGGTTAGGCAGGTGAGTCGGTTCAGTTATGGTTCCCTGTTGGCTTGCAAGGTTGGCAGCTTTGGACACTTAGCATTGGATATCTGAGATATATGTGAAGCACCGATGAAGGCATGGAGTTTCAGTGATTCGTCTGTGTATGATGGTGTCTCCTAGCATAAAATTAGCAATCCTGAAAAATGTAATTCCAGAGTCTACCTAAAATAAATATCCACAATTTGTGAGGCAGAGCATTTATTATGATCCTGGGCACCTTTCCTAAAATGTATCGATTGGGGAGAAATTCAGCAAATATACGAGTGACGCATCTGCTTCTCAGTATAAAAAGTCCATGGCACTGCTGTGCTTGGTAAATCATTTTGTGTTAAGTGGTTGTATATTTGTTCAAACTATGAGAGACCCACTAAGTGAAATAGTGAGAAGACACTGCCACTATTCAGAAATTATTGAGGGAGGGTTTTTTTTTGGGGGGGGGGTGCATCATTTCATTGTCTTGAGAGAATCTAAAAATATTTTCTCTTTTGTGACGTGAGCAGGTATGTCATCATTTGATGTGTCTTAGTAAAGGTCACTCTTAAGAGGTTTCTGATTCTATGCTGGAAAAAATACTTATTTTGTTGTAGTACTAAGCAAGTTTGTACACATTTCTTTTTTGTTTGTTTTTAATACACTGGTTGCTATCTTCAGAAAACTTTGAATTTTTTTTGTTCTGGTATTTCTTATCAAAATTTGGAGAAAGAACTGTGATGGGTAGAGCAAGAATGTGAGGTTTTTCTGACTCTTAGATTATATTTTATTGAAGCCTACCTGACTGATCCCCCATCTTAAAGTTGCTCACCTTAGTTTGAAATTGGGAGCATACATCCTGTGAATTACGTGCCTAAATTTAAATTGTTAGTCCCAACTATGACTGATTCATCGAATCTACTCTTATGTAAGTCTCACTGATTCAATCAAGTCTGTTTTATTTGGGATTGGTAACTGGATTTAGGCCCATGTGCTTATGAGAGTCTTGTTATAATTCATCCCTAAGTATCTTTATGCCTGTTTAACATTGTATCTTAAATATTGTATAGACTCTGACTGATGAACTAGCCCAGGCCAGAGACGACAACAAGAAGACACAAAACGACCTCATCCACACGGAGAACATGCGACAAGGACGCGATAAGTACAAGACACTGAGGCAAATCCGGCAAGGCAACACAAAGCAGAGAATTGATGAGTTTGAGGCTATGTAAACACACCGTTGCAAGACTGTGGGAAAAGCAGATTTTCAATGCTGGCTTTTCTTTCTTTCTGAATGGTTACTGCACCGTTATACCAAAAAAAGCCCCCAAATCTTCACATTTTCAAAAGCTACCTGAATCTAACAAGCGCAGCCATCAACTTTTGAGTATATCATAAGAATAGCTGCCATGAAGTTAGTCAAACCTTGGTAATATTTGGCCCTACCTTGGTGCCAAAAGGTCTCTTAGAGTTGCTGATCCCCCAGATTTGTTCACATTGTGCTCCTTAAGTGCAGGCATCTCTACAATGGCAGTTATGTCCAGATTTTGGGGGGTGGGGCACTATTAGTATCTTGTGCCATCTTTCTTGTTTTTAAACACCACATGTAATTCACAGTTGTAAAGGTCTTTCCCTCTTGCAGAAATGTAGGTGGAAACCTACGCGTAAGTTTGAGGAAGCTTTTTTATTGCACTGTTGCATTGAAGAGGCTTCCACAGTGATCGCTCAGAAGAAATGTATTGCAGGCACACTCAGTTGCCTTTTTGCATGAGACAGTCAGGGATATATCGTTGGCCTTCAAGATCATTGAAGAGTGGTACTCCAGCTTAACCAATCAGCTGTAGTGTAGTATTTATATATATACCTTTGTTAAAGATGTTAAGTGAGAGATATAATTCTAGTTTGAAAAGGGAGGTTAAAATTCTTCTGCTCTGTATATTTTGTTACTACTTTTCAGACTTGATGTTTAAGGAATACATAAAAGAATTAAAACAATATCTTAGTTTCTGGGTTGAAGCAGCATAAGAAACTGATTATGATCTAGAAAATATTTGTAAAGATTTTTTTTACTTTAAATGAAAATCGTGATAAATGCCTATGATTCAGTATATACAATTTCACTGTACCTATTTTTTTTCTAACAAATTTTCTAATTTTTTAAAAATGATCTAGTTTCAGACTCCAACCATGAAGGGACTTTGTCAGCTTTTTATTTTCTCAGTTACCGAGAATTTACATGGATTTCCTCCACTTATGCCATGTTCAGGTTAACCTTCGCCCCTAAATGTACCCATCTCAATCTTTGAAAATCTAGAATGTCGGAATACATGCATCATTATCTCTCTTCGACAAACGACTCCCTATGCTGCTTTATACTCATAAGTTTAAACCTTTGTATCCTGATGACAGTGTTGTGGGTTTTGTTTTTGGGCAATTCACCACAAATAAAAAAAATCTGCAAAGCGACATGATTTTGAAGTTGTGTGTGATGTTTTTCCCCTCTTATCATTTCATGATGTTTCCATACATTGGAATAACTAAAGAGGAAGGTAGATAAGGCAAAATCACCTATCCATTTTTGAAGGAATCCTAAGTGAAGGAATCAATTACTAGAATTAACTGTAGTGAATGGAGCAGGCTTGTTTTCTGCTGCCCTGGAGACTGGGACGTGAAACAATGGCTTCAAACTACAGGAAAGGAGATTCCACCTGAACATTTGGAAGAACATCCTAACTCTGAGAGCTGTTCAGCAGTGGAACTCTCTGCCCTCGAGTGTGGTGGGGGCTCTTTCTTTGTAGGCTTTTAAACAGGCTGGATGGCCATCTGTTGGGAGTGCTTTGAGTGCGATTTCCCTGCTTTTTGGTAGGGGGTTGAACTGGATGGCCCATGCGGTCTTTTCCAACTCTGATTTCATGCTGATACAGAGACAACGTGAGTTCAATTTGTGTTTAAAAGTAGGATACTTTCCTTTAAGGCGATGGAGCTGGTGCCAGCCAAACAATAATGTGGTAAGTTGTATGAGGCAGATTCACGCATAATTGAGCAAATTCATCTTTTTTTCAGTTAAGTGAAATATTTGGTGTACACAAAAGCCAGTTTTCCAAAAAGTGGTAGTTGCATTTCGTTTCATTCCAAATCCCACAATGAAGAATGCTGTACACTGGAGTATTTTTGCACATTTTATAAATTAAGGTTACAATAAAGTAATTCTTTTAAGTGTTGCTTGAAGGAATTATGTCCAAGTTCTGCAACATCTGGGCAGATGTATCAAGAAAGGAAAATAATTGGGACAGAATACAAAGAAGCAAGTTTATTTGAAAAAATAATAAGGGCATGGACTTTATTTAGACCACTGCTTCTTAACCTGTGGATCCCAACCCCAAATGGGGTTCTCTTAGCTCAATGTTGGGGTCCTGAAAAAACTGGCAACAGCAAAAGTTTTCTGAACATCACCTAGTGGCCATTTTAGACATTTACACAAATCTGTCAATGCAGTGTTTATTGCAGAAGACACTTCAGCTGTACTTCATAAAAAAGTAAATCGGCCTGTTTAGCAAGCAAGCCTTGCAAATGCTGATTTGTTATCAGTAAATGTTTCATTTTTAAAACATTTTTATATACTAGGGTTCACACAAAAAATTCTCAGTACAAAAGGGGTCTTGAGTGGAAAAGTTTAAGAATACGTGATTTAGACAACAAGTACAGTATCACCTCTTTGTTGTATGCCTGGAATTAATTTCTAAAAATGGCAACATTAACAATGGGTTTTCTTGGTAAGGTTTGTTCAGGAGAAAGGTTTGCTTTTGCCTTCTGGAGGCTGAAAGAGTGTGACTCACCCAAGGTGACCAATGGCTGAACAGGAATATGAATCCTGGTCTCCAGAATCATAGTCCAATGCTCAGACCATTACAGCCAGCTGCCTCTCGCACTCATTTCCAAGCTAAACTAGACACTACATTACATGCATGTTTCAGGGAAGACTTCTTTTATTTGCAGCATGTGAGGATTTCGCCTCCCTTTCAAGTGCTATTTGGGGAAGGGAAGGATCTTTATTTCAATATATATGAACAGGAAGCTCATAATCAAAAGATATATTAAACAGCACTTTACTATTCATGATTTCCAGCATTTGGTTCCAGAGGTTTATGGTCCATGATGACAGAGGAGATATATCTATATCTATCTCCCCCCATTGGCATGATTAAGTGTCTTCCATAATTATGGAACAGCAGGAGAGGATGATGTCCAAAAAAAGCGTATGCCCTTTTCTTTCTGTTCTCTGTTTCCCATGTCATTAGAAGACATTGTTTGTTATCTCAAGATGGTTAAAGTTTGCTCTGGAGTCTTTGGTGAGGAAGTTTGCCAGAAGACTTTTGGTAATCTAAAGAATGTCTGCTGCCTCTTTCCAATCCAAATACTATTGACATTTTCAGAAATACACTAAAAGCTCAGTGAGACAAGATTTAACTATCCAGAAACCATATTGACTCTTATTCAGAAGGTGTTGTCTTCTATATATGTGACACTTATCTTTCATGACTCTTTCTATCAACATGCTCAGAACATGTATCAGTATAATTACTCAGATCTCCACTGATGTATTTTTCCTTTCTCCCAGGTGCCTCCCCATAATCGGTCAGTAACCAGGGAGATGGGAGTTGTCCCTGCATCACATACACACAGAGTTGCTAGGAGCCTTGCACAAGGAGTTATTTGATACCTCCTGCATGGCCTGAGACCTACAAATACAGCTGCAACCTCCAGCCATACCTTTGTACTTACACCAAAAAGATCTTGATGCTATTTAATCTGGCATCCAAATCAAATGTTACATACTTAAAGGTGTTTGAGACAGTTCTCTTACATTGTTTAATCTGTTGCTCTTAGGCCTAGTCTTCAAAGTCTATAGAAAGCAATGCAGCCGTAGACACAATATCAACTTTTGGTTGCTTTGAGATTTCCAGGCTGTATGGCCATGTTTCAGAGGCATTCTTTCCTGATGTTTCACCCACATCTATGGGAGGATCCGTAGAGGTTGTGAGGTTTTGATATCAACTTTGTTTTCAAGTAGGACAGATTGCTACTACTTGTAATTAAAACCAACACAATTGAATTGTCAGTGTAATATCTTACTGCTATCTTATTTATGGCTGGAAGCTTTTGGTGCCTGAACGTCCTAAGATAGCCAGCCAGTTCCTCTAACACACTGGTGATCCATACAAAATTTGCAATTAAATATTTCTGGCATTTAAAAATAGATTCATAGTTTGCCACTTTTTCATCCAACGTGCCTAACGAAAGAGATTTTAAGGGCCTACATTTTTTCCTTTGAGGCTTTTATTTTTCAGGATTAAAATAGCTGGCTTTCCTACCTGCCTAAGCAGCCAAATAAGCAATGCCATGATTAGTTTTCCATCTGCTCTTAAATCAAGAGATATTCTGTACAGGACTCTTCAGACTTTAAATGCAGTAGCATTAGGGTACAGTGTAAGGGTGATGTCTGTCCATGTGTCTGGGCTGCTCAGCATTTTTTCCCACTGAAGACATGCTTGGGATGTTGCACCCACAGTGCTGGTTGGTGTATCTGCAACAGAAGAAAGCGAGAATGAGCAATCATGTTTCTGCCCATTTAATTACTCTGACTTTCCTTGGAAAGCCCATCACTTTGTATTGTGCACCAGAATATGTCTTTATAATTCAGTGAGGTATTATATGTAGACTTTTCACTATTAAGAGTAACTCAAGAGAGTCAACATAATTATCAGACAGTACGTATCTAAGTTGAGAATTGTATCAGTTTAACGCTTACATGCAAACTGAGAAGGAAGGAAAGGAAAACTCAATCTGCTTTTCTATGTGATGAAGGAAAATAACCATTCAAGAGGCTATCACAGCAAAAACATGAGTACTAGGGTTTGTGTGTAGGGAGCCCTAGCATAATTCCACCTGCTAGACACATACACTATGCTGGACAGTATAGGATTTTGAACTCTCTCTTGGTTGCTAACCAGGTAAATGTGTGAACCATACATTCTCCTACAGTACACATTGCTGCAGCTGCTAATCCAAGGAAGCCCCTCGGGTCCTGGACCAGGGCCTGGCCGCTGTGATGGGCTGGATGAGGCTAACAAGTTGAAATTGAATCCTGACTAGACAGAGGTCCTCCAGGTCAGTTGTTCAGCCTAACAGGATATAGGGTGGCAACCTGTGTTTGACGGGGTTACACTCCCCCTGAAGACACAGGTCCGCAGTTTGGGGGTCCTCCTGGACTCAGCACTGACGCTTGATGCTCAGGTGTCAGCGTTGACCGGGAGGACCTTTGCACAGCTAAAACTTGTGCACCAGCTGCAACCGTACCTTGAGAAGTCTGACGTGACCATAGTGGTCCACACCTTAGTTACCTCAAGACTGGACTACTATAATGCACTCTACATAGGGCTGCCCTTGAAGACAGTTCGGAAAGTACAGCTGATGCAAAGGTCAGCTGCCTGATTGTTAACCGGAGCAAGTTAGAGGGAGTGGTCAACCCTCCTGTTTAAACAGCTCCACTGGCTGCAGATAAGTTTCCTGTCTCAATTAAAGGTGCAGATGATTACCTATAAAGCTCTACATTGTTCAGGGCCTGCTTATCTGTGTGACCGCCTCCTCCCTTATGAAGCCCACACATTCTTTAAGATCTTCCAGGGATGCTCTTCTCTTGCTCCCACCCCCGTCTCAGGCGAGGCTGGTGGGGACGAGGGAAAGGGCATTCTCGGTGGTGGCCCCCCATCTCTGGAACTCCCTCCCCAGGGAGATTAGGCTGACACCGTCCCTAGCCACATTCCACAAGGAATTAAAGACGTGGCTGTTTCGTCGTGCTTTCAACTGATAACTTCTATGATATATGACCTGTATCATGACCTAATCATCATTCAACCTGAATTCCTATATTATATTACTATTCAGATTTTGTAAGTTAAACTGAATTTATTCTGATCCTGTTAAATTGCTCTGTTTTCATGATATTTCCTATGCTATTACACATTTCATCCACCTTTTCGAACTGCTTACCCTTCAATCATTTCACACATTAGCTTCCTTTCCTCCCTCCAAAACTAGTCTGTTGTTGCTTGATGCTTGCTTACTATTGTTATGCTGTTTTATGCTGTTTTAATTTGTAATTTGTTATTCCTTTGCTTTTAATTGTATGGTGCTTGGGCTTGGCTCCATGTAAGCCGCCCTGAGTCCCTTCAGGGAGATGAAGGCAAGGTAGAAAAATAAAGTTCTTCTTCTTCTCTTCTTCTTCTACTGCCCAATTAACAGATATGTATATTTCACAGTTTGTTCAATTCCATCTTGGATGCTAGGCAAATTATGTAACCGGGTTTGGAGTAGCGAAATGGTTCAATTGTAAAGGCTTTGTGCCTGACCAGTTTTTAACTAGATGGGTCTTTGGCAGTGGGGAAAGCATGGATCATCACAAAGGGAGTGCCCAGCGGGATGCCAAACAAGCTGAGGGCCATTCCAATTAGTGTTGCTAATGGCATGTCAGTGTTCCTTTTCCCTTTGCTAGTTTGCCAAGGAGGAGGCCGTTCTGAGGGAGAGCCAGAACAAGGAACAATCATGGAGTAGACAATGGGTTAATTCAGAAAGCCACAACTAGGTCAGTGATTCTCAATGCATAGTGCAAGCTGCAAGAAGGAGATGCTGAATCCCACTTGGGAGGCTTGACTTCCACATGGACTCCCTCCTGGGATGTGTGTTGACTGGAGGCAGAATAGTAATAGGTTTTGTCAAATGACTGTGCCAAGAACCAATAGGGCAGCCCTTTGTGTTCTTCATACCTTTCATTGAAGACACAATGTATCCCCATGCTGACATTTAAAAGTATTTCAAAGAGTGATCCTGTTGCTGCTGCAATCACCATCTCCCCCACCTCCAACATTTCATCTCAAAACCAGGGAGGAAAGACACAAAAGCCAGGAGGGAGTCCGACCAGCAGGTTGTTTCCACTTGAGTCTATTGAGAAGGGCAACTATTATTTCCCACATTCTCCTCTTCTTCCCTCTTCTAAGTTAACTGAGGGCAAGCTATCCTCAAAATTCTGCCTCTCCAAAGAAGTGAAAATTGCCTCCTTGATCCAGACAGGAGCATCTTTTTACCACAACTCGGCTGTTATCAAATATTCACGACACCAGGGAAGGGGGCATAAAGTGGGGTAGTTTTCTTTAGGATCATTGGGTAGAGGAGACTTGAAACTGTCCACTTCCTCCAAATGCTACTTAGCTGTTCATCAGAGAACAGGGAAAAGATCAATCTAGATCAGCGTTTCTCAACCTGGGGGTCGGGACCCCTGGGGGGGTCACAAGGGGCTGTCAGAGGGGTCGCCAAAGACCACCAGAAAACACAGTATTTTCTGTTGGTCATGGGGGTTCTGTGTGGGAAGTTTGGCCCAATTCTCTCATTGTTGGGGTTCAGAATGCTCTTCGATTGTAGGTGAACTACAACTCCCAAATGTGAAGGTCTATTTCCCCCAAATTCCATCAGTGTTCACATTTGAGCATATTGAGTATTTGTGCCAAGTTTGGTCCAGACTCATCACTGATTGAGTCCACAGTGCTCTCTGGATGTAGGTGAACTACAACTCCAGAACTCAAGGTCAACGTCACCAAGCCCTGTTGGTCATGGGAGTTCTGTGTGCCAAGTTTGGTTCAATTCCATCATTGAGTTCAGAATGCTCTTTGATTGTATCCCAGCAACTACAATTCCCAAATGACAAAATCAACAACCCCACCAGTATTCAAATTTGGGTATTTGTGCCAAATTTGATCGAGTTAATGAAAATAGATCCTGCATATCAGATATTTACATTATGATTCATAACAGTAGCAAAATTACAGTTGTGAAGTAGCAACAAAAATCATGTTATGGTTGGGGGTCACCACAAGATGAGGATCCGTATTAAGGGGTCGTGGCATTAGGAAGGTTGAGAACCACTGATCTAGATCAACACACGGAGAGTCGGAAGGAAGATCACAGGACGGATTATTAGTTTATTAGTTATTAGTTTAAGGAGATATTTAGAATTCCCTACTACAGGAAGATGCAATGTTTTAGGTCAGAGGAGTAAACTAACGATATCTACATAATTATATATTTCAAGATACCACAGGATGAAAATATGATTGTTATAGGGTTGCTGCGAGTTTTCCAGGTTGTATGGCCATGTTGCAGAATCATTCTCTTCTGACGTTTCACCCACATCTATGGCAGGCATCCTCAGAGATTGTGAGGTCTGTTGGAAAGTAGGCAAGTGTGGTTTATATATCTGTGGAATGTCCAGGGTGGGAGAAAGAACTCCGATCTTGATTGTTATACCAGTACCAGATTGGCAGAACTGAACAGTATAGCATCGCCAAACTTTTTTGCCTTGGGGCCATATTGTAGGTCCAGCTGGGAGGGCCGGGCTAGGAGGGAGGGGGCTATTCACATGCTCGGCGAGCCCACAAGAGGTAGCACCCAGGAAGGACGGGGCCAGGAGGGGGCAGGGCAGAGCCTGGGTCATCCTCAGGTTGTTCTCCCAGCATAAAGACGGGACTGCTTGCCCAATCCTTATGCTGGGAGGAAGGCGGGACACACAGTGATTATCCCAATCCTCCTTCCCCAATCCTAGGCCTATCCTCTTGGCATTATGCCAGAAGGAGGGTGAAACAGGCAGAGGCTGAGAGTCCTCCGGAGTGCTCTCATCCACCATGTGCTTTCCTTGAGCTGTCCTCCAGGTATAAGGATGAGGCCACTCGCACTGTCCTTATACCAGGAAAAGGATGAGACACATGGTGGCTGAGAGTGCTCCAGAGGGCTCTCAGCTGCTGCATGCCTTCCTCCCCCATCTTTTTGGCATTAGGATGGAGTGGGCTGCTATGTCCTTATGCCAAGAGGACAGGGAAAATGAGGAAGCCCTGAGATAATCGCTCAGAGGGCCGCATCTGGCCCATGGGTCTTAGTTTGCTCATGTCTGGTATAGACACACTACCTGTGAATTCAAGGCTGAGGAGAGATTCAGGTCTGTCATTCTTCTACAGCATTATCACAACATTGCAATCACAACATCGGCACAAGGTCATTATGCTGGCTCTGGGCTTTCTTTTTTCTTTCTCAACCACTTACATTTTCCAAGCCGAGCTCCACCCAAGAACTGATCATGCAAGGCAAATGATACTTGATCCCATACAGTTAGGTCTAGGGAAGACTGCTGCAGCTGAGATGTGGTGACCCCATTAAATACAAACAGGTGGTTCCACTGGGGATGAGTTTGCTTCTTCAGTACAGGAGTCTTTTGCCTTATGTCCTTTTGTCCCTGGAGGCACAGACAGCTTTTGAAAGAACATGCAGAAAATTTGTGAGAGAAAAAGATTTGCTGACTCCCTCCTAAAATAATGCATTTTGAATCTTGTTTATTTACGACAGTGGTTCCCAACCTGTGGTCCGTGGATCACCAGTGGTCTGCAAAAACTAAAATATGGTCCACTGCCTCACAAGAAACCCTCTTATAGTGCTGAGGCAACAGGGATGTTGGGAGGAGAGAGAGTGACTACCCACAAAAGATTACTACTACCACACCAGCTCTAGATTATTAAATATGGTTTTATGTGGGCGAGCAGATGGCGACTACTGGATGGCATATATTCTGTATCTGAAACTAAAGCTGATATGGTCTATCCAGAGCAATTTTCTGAATCAGCACCTCAAATAACCAAACCAAATCTAAAGTTGACCAAAAACTGATTCGTAATCCTTTTGGTACTAATGTTGGAGAGTGGTCCCTAGTCAAAGTGGCCCCTGGTCAAGTAGATCCTGGTCAAAAAAAAAGTTGGGAACCACTGATTTACAGCAAAGGAGTTAGTTAGTTACATGTGACTTTCCCATCATGAAAAGAGTAGTAATTTTTTTTTAAAAAAATACTGCCATTCATACCTTTTAACAAATGGGTTTAATAGGCCATCCGGTCTTATCTTGGGCAGGTTGTTGGCTCCAAGTATTATAACGTGAAGTTGGTATTCAGGATGGGCCTTTTCTTTTCTCCCTGAAAAAAATGTTTAAATTTAACAGAGAATTACACTACAGCAATATTGCAATAACAATTTTCAATAGCAATTAACCAAATGAACTTACTAAATCCCAAAGACAACCATTATTGTCTCCGGTTCTTTAAGCAAAGCAGTCATGAAAGAGAGGGAGGGAAACACTGCAAAACTAAGGCTGTTATCCTATACTGTCTTTATGGGGGAAAGTTCCATTCTGTGTGAATCAGGCCCTTTCCACAAAGCCATATACCCCAGAATATCAAGGCAGAAAATCCCACAATATCTGCTTTGAACTGGGTTATATGACAGTGTGGACTAAGGCCCCTTCCACACAGCCATATACCCCAGAATATCAAGGCAGTAAATCCCACAATAGCTGTTTTGAATTGGGTTATCTTGGTTCACACTGCCATATATTATAGTTCAAAGCAGAAAATGTGGGATTTTATTCAACTGTGTGGAAGGGGGCCTCAGTTCTATTATAGACTATTAATGCAAATGGTTTACTTCAAATGTATACACAAAAAAGGCAACATATGGATCCATCCAGCTCTCTTCGATAGCACCTACCTAAGGTTTTTATTTTAATTCTGCATAATTGGGGAGAAAAAATAGAACTAATAACCCTGATCATAATACACAGGGCACAAAGTATTGATCAATTCTACATCACAATACAGAGCATTTTGCAAGAATCTTTTGTTACACATATGCCCAGGCTTTCCATTCAAAATGACCCAGGGCCATTACCAAAAACAAGAAAGGACCAGTTTCTATCGAAGAAGGTAAGAGCTGAAATATTTAAAAACAACATTTTCCTAAATGGTATGAAGATTTAATTCTCAGAAACAGTTCATGAAATGTTCTAGAAGCATTCTCTCCTGATGTTTTGCCTGCATCCATACAGAACATGGCCATACAGCCCAAAAAACCTACAACAACCCAGTGATTCTGGCCATGAAAGCCTTCGACAGTTCATGAAATGACAAATCAGAGAATGGACTATACCACTTCAGACTGCTAGTGTAAGATCTGATGAAAGGAACTCATGCTTCCCTTTGTCTCTCCTGTAAAATGCTGCACGCTGCATATTCGAAAAAGCTGGGCTAGAACCCAGGCCTACCAGTTTCTTATGTATAAGGAAGAATTTTGTACAGAGGTTCATTCATTCATCTGACACAAATCCTTCTTAGTGCCCTTTCTCATTACACAGTTATAGCATTATGATTCCACTTGAACTGTGATGGAATCCTGTGATTTACAATTTGAAGATGGACACTGAGAATTCCCAGCCAGGAAGCTATAGTGCCTCATCAAACTACAAATCCCAGGATTCTTTGTCGTGCAAAAGGTTTCCCCTGACATTGTCTAGTCGTGTCCAACTCAGGGGGTTGGTGCTCATCTCCATTTCTAAGCAAGCATTGTCCATAGACACCTCCAAGGTCATGTGGCCAGCATGACTGCATGAAGCACCGTTACCTTCCCGCTGGAGTGGTACCTATTGATCTACTGACATTTGCATGTTTTCAAACTGCTAGGTTGGCAAAAGCTGAGCCTAACATTGTGAACTCACCCCACTCCCCGGATGTGAACCAGCAACCTTTTGGTCAGCAAGTTCAGCAACTCAGCAGTTTAACCCACTGCACCACGAGGTAATGCTGCACCCTTGTAATACAAACACAGCAGTTAAAGTGGAATCTGAGGCCCCCTTTAAACTGCCATATAATGCCGTTTCAGAATGCAGTTACTGCATGAAACTGGTTTATATGAATCTACACTGCCATATAATTAAGTTCAATGCCGTTAAATTGCATTATAAAACTGCATTGTATGGCAGACAGAGCCATACTTGTGTGATAGTGTTCTCAGCATCCTAATAAGGCAGAGTACTGTTGATACCCATACTACAGGTTACTTCCACTTCATTTTAAACTTGTTAGGGCTTAAAATGTTATGCGAAGTGAATCTTTAACTTCAGAAATGGAGACAGGAAGGAGACTGAAATCAATAATCTGCCATATCCTGTTCTTCCATATAAAAGAACTATGAGTAATAGTGAATGGCTTAAGAGAATACTGAGTGTGGGTTTTGAGAGGTTTGCATAAACTGGCTGTGTTTATGCAGCAAATTCCAGACATACAGCCCTCTTCATTTTTTTTTTCAATGGCTATCATACTAGAAATTCTTACCTACTGAAGGTAAAACCAACTTTGCACGGACTTGGAGTTCTCCACTGTATAGAGCCACATTCTCTTCAGATTTTTCAGGCTATTCAGAAATTAAAAGAGGAAGACATACACACACAGAATTGACTGTTTTAAACCAACTTGCATTATTCACCTCGTCCTATGTTTCATTCACATAATCAATTGAGGCAGGTGATAAAAGAGCCAAGCATAAATGCTTACCTATATCACATAATCATAAGATAATAATGTAGGGGTCAGGTTCCAAATTTTACCTACTATATGAAAACTCCCTGTTCAATAAATTGGCCTTGCTGCTGTCATCAGCAATTCAGTCTTTCATCACATGGCTCCAAGTTCTTTCTGTCTAACAGTGGACAGGTGCCCACTCAAACATAGCTGCCTCCTAAAGCTGTCTCATTACTATTATTACCAATATTACCATGCTAATATTGCTAATTTTACTAATATTACCATGTGACAAAATATTTGTGACAAAAATGCAATCTCTTTAAACCCATTTCCAGAATGTATACTTTTCCGACTACTACTAATTATGGAGTCTTCATGCAGCAACAATCCCAGCAGTCAGCATGAAAAGTTATGGCTAAAGTTTTAACAAGTATCCATTTTAAACTGCAAAGCATCTCTATTATTCACAGATAAGAGTAGCACAGTAGTGTGTGTGATACATGAGAACTGAACAGGAGGTGTGGATGAGTGAGTGCTACTATGATTCTCTTTACAGCTTTCCGGCTGTGAATCATATTGTCCTAGCTGATTTATGGATGGAGTGTACAAACAAACAAGCAAAAAAGGGATAATCAACCCTCTGTACCCACAGATTCTGCACCCATGGATCTAACCATCCACAGCTTGAAAATATTTTTTTATAATTCTACATAACAAATCTTGATTTAATAATAATAACAATAACAACTACTACTACTACTTTATTCATATCCCGCCACCATCTCCCAAAAGGGACTTTGGCGGCTTAAAATTTTGCCATTTTAAGGGGCACAATTTTGCTCAGCCAGTGTATATAATAGGACCTGCACATCCACAGATTTTGGAATTCACAGTGGGGAGGGCTACTCTAACCAAATCCCAAGGGCCCACTGTGCGTGAGTACTGTGGGGACAAGGGCATTGCCCTACTCCTGCCTTCCTCATTCTCTCTTCTCTATTGCACACAATAGGGCAGGCACAGAACCTAACTCCAGCCCTGCTCTGGACATAGAAAAATGAGTCTTTCTACAGTACTTGTATTGTCTACAAATAGAAAAACTGCTTGGCTAGATCAGGCTCCATCCCAATTATAAAGATGTTATCCATTTCTACCATTCCTAGACTGATTTGTAATGATGGAGATTATAATTGAATACATCTGGCCAAAGACAAGAGATGCTACAGTCCAAAACATCTTGACGCTAATGTACAGTCTTTCAAAGATAACATACTTCCAAAAAAGATTGTATGGAAGGTCAAAATGTGGCATTAAAATGATGCAAACAGACCCTGTTGGTTGCAACCAACATCCAGTCCTCAGAGTGAGAAATGCGCTTTCATATATGGAGGTGTTATTTATGTCGTGTCTAAAGACACTATCTCGTCTGTTTACACAACAATCCAAAGAAATGGCTGTAACACAGGCATCCTCAAACTATGGCCCTCCAACTGTTTTGGCTTCCAACTCTCAGAAGCCCTAGTCAACTTGTTCAATAGTCAGGAATTCTGGGAGCTAGAGGTCCGCAGTTTGAGTATGTTTGCTTTAACATGATCTTATCTTGAGATACTGTCTGACAGAAAACATGAGATACTCAAGAAATCATTTTCAAACACCTGAAGGATTGTCATTTAGATTTGGGTTCTCAGCCCTTAGCCTTCCTAGATGGAGGAGCAACAGAGTTTTTGCACTAACAGGGAATTAGTTTTTGCACTAAAAGGGAATAGTCTAAATGAACATAGAGATCCCTTTCAGCTATGATTCTGGGTATAGGGATTTCTTATATTGGCAAAAATAAGTTTTCTTCAAAATATTAGGAATTGAAGTTATGCTATATATGTATACGTATACAGTCTCACTTATCCAACATAATTTATATAGGCGACTCGGGGCGGTTCACATAAATGGCTGGCAAAATGTTGGATACGTGAAAATGTTGAATAATAAGGAGGGATGAAGGAAAAGCCTATTAAACATCAAATTACATTACGATTTTACAAATTAAGCATCAAAAATAAGGTTTTACAACAAATCAACAGGAAAAGCAGTTCAATACACCGTAACGTTGTGTAGTAAATACTGTATTTATGAATTTACCACTAAAACATTGCAATGTATTGAAACAACTGTGGATCTGGGCGAGAGGCAGACTGCGTTGAATAATACAGAACGCTGGTTGAGTGGTTGGATAAGCGAGACTGTACTGAATAAAAAAACATGAAGCACACCTCCCCCGATCCAAAAAAAGCATAGCAGAGACTTTTACACTATAGCACTATGACGCCACTCTAACTGTCAATCCTACAGAATCCTAGGATTTATAGGTTGGTGAGTCACTAGAGCTCTATGGCTAAGAATTCAAAATAAGTTTTCCTAAACTCCATATCCTAGAATTCTATTGGATGGAACTACAGCCCTTAAAATTAGAATCATAGTGCTATATTTGTGTACTGTGAAAAGGCTTCAAGCTTGCTTAAGCTTTCTTTCATCAAGGAATAAACCAACATGCCACGTGATATATGTAGCTATAGTTTTACATAACTCTAGTTTTGCATAACATTCCTGTTTGTAGAACTACTACCAAGCCAAAGTTACCTTGGTTTGGAGTTGATACCAGTTAAATGATCGAGTTGAATTGTCTTCAAAATCCCAAGATTCAAATGAGATCACCACTTCTCCAAGGAATACTCGGCGTCTGAATGTTCCCGAGTGCCACACAGACACCTGAAGCTGTCGAGTTTGCAGCTGGGAGTATTCAACCTTATACTGTAAACATGAACATTATTACTATTTCAATACAGCATTGAGCAATATGATTATTATATAAGGTAGGGGTTTCAACATCATTTTCATTGAGGGCCACATCTGTCTTACATTTGTCTTTAAAGGGCCTAAATAGGGATTAAATATCCAGGGACAGAGAATCCGTGAATACAGAGAGCCAACTATAATTTTTTGCATAGTGGATGGTGCTCTAGTTTTTACCCAGTTTGGGTCCCCAATATTATTGAACGACAACTCCCATCATTTTTTATTATTAGGATGTAAACTTGGGAAACATGTCAACCTTCTTTAAATACTTCTCATTCTCAGGGCCCCTCCACACAGCCCCATAACCCAGAATATCAAGGCAAATGATCCACAATATCAGCTTTGAACTGGGTTATCTGAGCCCACATTGCCATATAATCCAGTTCAATGTGGATGTTATACAGCTGTGTGGAAGGAGCCCCTGCCAAGTAGTTCTGTGAAAGAAGATTTTACTATGGAAAGATGAAACCTATTGGATAGGAAACTGGGCTAAAATATGGCTTAGTGTACCTTAAATGATTCTCGGAACAATGGATCCTGTGTGTTCTTTTTAACAGAGGTCTTCCGTTTACTCTGTGGAGACTTATCAGGCAACAAACAAGTCTTGATGTACCTTATAATCAGAGATGGAGTTAAGAGACATGAAAAGGAAGGAAGGAACTAAAGCCACATCCTCGCTACTAATTATAATTTATCTCTTTGCCATTTGTTTTTCTTTCATTTTGTTTTCTCTTGGCATCTGAAGTTTTTCTTCACTATCAGTTTCTGTTTGATTGCATACAAGATTTCATATTTACCAACCTCTCTCATCATGTTCGTTTCCAACGTCAGTATCTTTGCAAGTCCTACCAACACTCACACATAGCTGTGCAGCATCCATCCTAATGGCATAATTAAAACTTAATTCTAAAATACTTTAGCTAAAGCGATGGTTTCAAGGCCACCACCCTCAGGAGATGCGTTTTTTTCCTCAAAAGTACCTGGTATTGGTAATTTTTCAGGTTTTTGTAAAGATATAAAATCTTCAGGGTGAAGTGAAACATGAGCCAACATTTGAACCAGGTGATATTGCCCATTCACATTTAAAGTCCACATTTTCCCTAACTATAAAAGCAGCTAAATGTTAAATTACACCACAGAAGCAATTGAAACTTCATATAATGTCATAGCCTTATTGAGACACTGTACTGCTTATTTATTTTTATTTATTTACTTCACTTGTATACTGTTTTTCCAACATATTTATGGCAAAATGTAATGCCTCACATATATATGAAACCTAACATAAAAAACATATAACCATCAATTAAATCATTAAAATGTACGTTAAAATGTAGAATTAAAACATATTGATATAAACATTAAAATCACATAATCCAAAAAATTTAGTCCAGGCCATTCAATTGCACATAATCCCTGATCATTCCTTGTATTGCTTACTGCCCAAAGCCTTGGCACCATAGCCAAGTTTTGACTTTTTTTCTGAAGGCCAGGAGGGAGGGCGCTCATCTAATTTTGTTGGGGAGGGAGTTCCATAGTCAAGGAGCCACAACCAAGAAGGCCCTGTTTCTCATCTCCACCAGTTGCACCTGTGAGAGGGGTGGGCCTCCCCGGACAATCTTAACCTTCGAGATGGTTGATAGAGAGAGATATGTTTGGACAGGTAAGTTGGGCCAGAACTGTTTATTTATTTTTATTTATTTGAAATATTTATATTCTGCCCTTCTCACACTGAAGGGGTCTCAGGGCAGAACACCACACATATATGGTAAGCATTCAATTGTGGGACATGAAATAATTATAAATATATACAAACACTAAAATCAGTTATATCCACTTTAAAATCAGTTGTTTAAAGCCATCTCAAGACATCAGGCTGGCTCCGGTCAGCAGAGTGGATTTCCTATTCTTGCCTTATTGCACTGTTCCAAAGGCTTGGTCCCACAGCCATATTTTACCATATTTCTGAAGGACAGGAGGGAGGGGGCTTTATAGACTATTTAATTGTGCTTGGTAGCAGACTGGCAGCCAGTGGAGCTGGTGTAACAGGTGGGTTGTGTGCTCCCTGTACCCCATTCCAGTGAGCAATCTGGCTGCCTCCTGTTGGACCAATTGGAACTTCCAAACAGTCTTCAAAGGCAACCCTACATAGAGCATGTTGCAGTAGTCTATTCAGGATGTAACCAGAGCATGGACTACCATGGCCAAGTCTGACTTTCCAAGGTATGGGCACAACTGGTGCACAAGCTTTAATTGTTCAAAAACTCTCCTGGCCACCACCGAAACCGGGGTACTAAATGGTGGATCAGGGAACAGGGACATTGACAGAGCTTCATTTGGCCACAGCTTTATTCATTCCTCTTGTATTGTCTTGGCCTGGCATAAGTCAATGGGCTTGGGCATTTAACAATCTACGTGTTATTTGAGATACCATGGAGTGCCATCTATGGAATGAATGCTGCTGTTGGTCACTCTGTAATACTCTTGCTATGGAAGGCAATACTGTTCTCCGATATACCCAAGAACACTTTATGGGCCGCCCCAATGAGAGGGAAAGTGCGCATATAGGCCATGCCTCTCCCCAAAAACTGTATTTGTCAGCATGCTATAACATCCAAGTTGTCCATGGGATTGAACAAATTAAAACATTCAACAGGTGGATGAGTGATAAGATGTCCAAAAGCCAAAGGATCACCATGGACATGATTAACTACTACAGAGTGAAGTCTGAGAGGGCAGTATAACCCTTGAAAGTAATTTATATATTTTTAAACTATGTTTTCAAAGATAGGCTTATACAACCCTCACAAAAATACTTGTCCAGATTCCGGATCTGACTATGCTTCAAAATGTAATTTCTACCTCTGATCTTCAATTATAACTACAGTTTGTCACCCCCTGCTGGTCACTAACTATCTGAAGAACTTTCCTGCACTTTCTTGTACAGTATGAGTTATATCACTTGAAAACTATGTCAGTCTTGGGACAACTGCCTAAATATCCTCCCCATTTTTCTCAGTGTATATACCAACAACAACAACTTTATTTTTATATCCTGCCTCCATCTCCCCGAAGGGACTTGGGGCGACTTACACATAGGACAAAATGTCCACAAAACATCAAAGCAAAACAATCCATTAAAAACAATACACAATTAAAGCAAAACATAGCAACGACAGTCAGATAAAACACAATTAAATAAAACACAAGAGTATAAAACAGCAGGATTAAAACTTGCGCAAATACTACACAACAACAAGAAAAAAAGCCAGTAATACTAAGATGGGCAAAACAGCGTAGCATAAAGTTGGGGAATTGGAAGGAGTGCGGCAAACAGAGTAGTATCTGACAAGCTATGGACTGGGCATTTATAAGTAGGGACTAGTCATTCTCAAATGCTTTCTTTATAATAATAGCATATTCCTACATCAAAGTAATTCCATTAAAAGATCATTGTTTCCCATGTTGTACAGTTTATAGTGAGGTGGGAAGTTTGCAGCACACAATGTCCTTGTTGCGACCTCTAAATCTCCCCATCCCTAAAACACACAAATTCTAAATATTTCACAGCATTTGGGACAAGCTCTCAAAACTGCAAAAAAAAGGCCACCAAAAACTTACCACAAAAGCCCAGATACAAAAACCCTCGCAAGTCCCACCCTGCTTCTAAATATCTTAGTTTGTATGTGTTCTTCCCAAAATGGTGACCAAAAGTGACGCAACACCACTTTCTGCCAATATTTTGAGAAGAACTTAGATGAAAAGGGAGGAATTTAAGAAATATTTTTCCACATTAATGAGGAGCAAAGCCCATAGAGCAGTCAGAAAGCAGATATTTATTTCCAGCACCTACAAAGTTGTTCTCTATTTCTGAAGATACCAAATCATTCTGGGCCACTTCAATCACCTAATGTGTTAATTATTCAACATTAACTCTCTGCTTATTATTATTATTATTACTTGTAGTAATAGTAGTAGTAGTAGTAGTTCTTACCCACCTCTCTCCAAAGTCAAAGCAGGTTATTAAAACACAATAGATAAAAACATAAAACATATGTAAAACACATAGATTAAAACACAAAGTCACAAGATTAAAACATATATCAAAATAATTTAAATCAATAACATGTAAATTAAAAATTCATATTTTGGCTGAGTAGGCCTGCCAGAAGAAATAGGTTTTTAATTGTGTCTTAAGTTTTAGCTGTCAGATCTCTTCTGGCAGATCATTTCAGTCTTGGACTGGCTATGAAGATGTCCTCTGGGTTGCCAGTGGGGTTCTGGTTGGCTGGAGTAGCCATCCCTTCAAGGACCTTAGTATGTGGGGTGGCTTGTATAGGAGAAAGCAATCCTGTAGGTAACCTGGATCCAAACCATGTGGGGATTAAAGGTCATAACCAACACTTTGCACTTTACCTGGAATCTAATGGGCACAGTGTCTCTACAAAATCAGTCTGTCTTTCTCTTTTGACAGTTGTTCAAGTCAAACATTACAAAAAAAAATGACCAAAGAAAAATGTATAATTATAATTCCAAAGACTCAAGACATTAAATTTTCACACTCCAAGATTTACAACAGTAAATGAAAACGAGCTTACGGGTTACATTTTTTCTTGGTCTCCTCTCCATAAGCCAGGTTCTTGCAGGCACTGATGAACACTTCTAAAGTCCCAGTTCTGAAGATATATGCAATGGCAAATTCTATTTCACCACTGACATCTGCTCTCTCGAAGTTGCCAACCTCTGTGCATGTGCTATTAATGCTGTATAAACTATTCTGTAATAATAGAAGGAATACATATAACGTCAGTTAAGACATACAATTACACAAATTTAAGGCATTGTCATTGGTCAGTGTTTTAGGCCAAATAGAAGTACACAGTAGCAAATTTTAATGAAACAATCTGCAATTCCTTCCAGCCTTATAGTGGTGAATAATGACCATTTAATCATTATCATTTTTTCAGTGAAAAATATTCCTTATATGCCTGGCCTCCTTTTGCAACTATCTCACTTCTGTTTCCCAAATTAATGAGTCTTCATTATAGCCCAGATATCCTACTTAAAAAACTGAAGTATGAGCATTACTTTAAAATAGTGGTTCCCAACCTTTTTTTGACCAGGGACCATTTGACCAGGGACTACTCTCCAATATTAGTACCAAAGAGGTTGCGAATCAGTTTTTGCTGAAATTTAGATTTGGTTTGGTTATTTTGGGTTCTGATTCAGAAAATTGTATTGGATAGACCACATCAGCTCTAGTTTCTGATACAGAACATTTGCCATCCAGTAGTCGCCATCTGCTGGCCCACAGAAAACCATATTTAATAATTTAGAGCTGATGTGGTTTATCCAATGCAATTTTCTGAATTATTACCCCAAATAACCCCAGGAACAAGCCTAAAAATGAAGACACCAAGAAAAAAATGTTTTGGGATTTTGTTAACACTTGTGTTAAAAAAAGAAAGGGAGGGCGTGGAGGTTAAAAAAATACAAAAAGCAAAGCATGAGACCCAAGAAACTGTCCCTAATGGCTTTAATAATAATAATAATAATAATAATAATAATAATAATAAGAAGAAGAAGAAGAAGAAGAAGAAGAAGAAGAAGAAGAAGAAGAAGAACAACAACAACAACAACAACAACAACAACAACAACAACAGCAACTTTGGGGGAGTAAACAGAGTTTTACAAAAGGCTGCCTTTTCCATTACAACTCTTGGGTTTGGCAATGGAAGCTAATAATAACAATAATTACTTTGAGGGACTAAACAGGGTCTTGTAAAGGGCTGCTTTCCCATTACAATTTATGTGTGGCAATGGGAGCTAATAATAATATTAGTAAGAATAATAACTTTGGGAGACTAAATAGGGTCTTACAAAGGTTTGCTTTCCCATTATAACTCTTGTGTTTGGCAATGGGGCTAAAAATAATAATAATTACTTTGGGGCACTAAACAGAGTTTTACAAAGGTCTGCTTTCCCATTCCAATTGATATGTGGCAATGGGAGATAACAACAACAACAACAAGTACTACTACTACTTTGAGGGACTCTCCTCTCTCTCACTCTCCTCCAATTGTGCTGGGAAAGCCGCAAGAGGGCGAGGTCAACTGTTAGCCTCCTTCCTTCCTTCCTTCCTTCCTTCCTTCCTTCCTTCCTTCCTTCCTTCCTTCCTTCCTTCCTTCCTTCCTTCCTTCCTTCATCCCCTCTCCTTCTCTCTCTTACTCTCCTCCAATGGTGGCACACACACCTCAGCTGCGGACCTTATTTTAGGTTTCATGGCCTGCCAGTGGGCCACGGTCCATGGGTTGAACCACTGCTTTAAAAGAATGTGTTGCTGTAATTCACTACTTTAAACCCATCATATTACACTGCCCACTAGTAATGTTGCTAATGAATTTGTGTTTGGTTTTTTTCCCTGGACAACTAATTAAAGTGCAAGGGATCCTCACAAAGGTAACCCTTTGAGTAAGAAAGTAACACATTACACATTACTCTTAGCAACTGCAGTGTTTAAAACAATTAGAAATACAAAAGTTAGCAAAATTCCTTAGAAAATGTAACAATGTCACTTTTAACAAACCACTGCAAAGCTTTGTGCTCTTTCCCTACCTCCTATTGTGCTACCAGAAATTAAAGTAAGGTCATTTGTAAAGCTAATATATACAAATGGAGAGGATGTCACAGCATTTTCCTGTCAAAGAGAAGCTTCCTAAGAAAGTAAATAATCTTGGAAGAGGGAAACTTTCAGTTGTTTGGCATACTCTCTGGTTATCCCAGTTGGTCAGAAACATTCCCAATTAATCTCGTGATGTCACTTTTCATCTGCTTTTAAAGTGTCTGGGCTTCTCCCATCTCCTCCCATCTCCTCCTCAGCTTACTTTGATTGTTGCAAAGGGTAAAAGAAAAAGAGGCACAAGCTGGCAAATTCCTGTGAAATCTTGGCAATACAACCTGGCTGAAAGTCCCTCCTCGGGGTGAGAAGGGAGGGGGGTACAAGTGTATGAAATAAATAAATAAATAAATAAATAAATAAGAAATTCTAGTAACTTCATGCCCTTTTAGGACTCTCTGGCAAGTCTATGTAGAGTGATATAATCACAGGACTGCTACTTACACTTCTTACACCTGCAGAAAATACGGCCTCACTTGTGGAACTGGATAGAATGCACTCTTCGCTAGAAGTCTTTTTGGAATCACTTCCATTGCTGTCCTCGTCTCCAGTTAGGAGATGAAGGAGACTCGGGGCACCATTTAACTGTAGAAAAAGATAGTGATATACTAGATTTTTTTTCTTTGTCATTTATATTGATTTGAAAATAGTTTACTTTTCTTGCCAAATTTACTCTGGGTTACAAAATCACAAAGTACGCATAATAAAGCAGCCATAATCAAAATTACAATAATAGCCATTCCAAATTATATACTAAATGAAGAGCAAGACAAAACAACTTTCTTCAAAACAAGGAGAGAGAACTTTCATCCATGCTAGAAACCTGCAGAAAACAAAGGCCCCTTCTACACCGCCCCTATATCCTAGGATCTGATTCCAGATTATCTGTTTATCTCAGATTATCTGGCAGTGGAGACTCATATAATCCAGTTTAAAGCAAATAATTTGGGTTCAGATCCTGGGACATAGGGCAGTATAGATGGGGCCTTAGTTGCTTCCTGAAGCAAAAAAGGCATCCAACTGAAACACTCTGAAGAAGGATTTTCATAACATGGGTACCTCTATTTTAAAATGCCTGGTGAATTCTTAAGCTCTTCTCCCCACTTAATAGCAGATGCTAGAGTTGAAATTATACAATATCCCATTCCAGATGACTTATCCATTTAATTCAATGGAGAAAACAAGTTTGTACAAAGGAATCCTTCTATTAAATGTAACGGGACAGACCAACCCAACTAAAGATTCCCAAAGCAGTTTCTCTCAACTTTTTCATCTTGGGATAGTCCACATGGTAGGATGGGGAGTCAAAGTATTTCCAGCTATACAAAAATTAAGGACAGGGGAAAAAATCACAGCTAAAATTTTGTCCATTTTATTTCATTCAAAGCAATGTTTGTATTTTCTATAAAGGCTACAGTCCCCAGATGTTTTTGGCCTTCAACTCCCAGAAATCCTAACAGCTGGTAAATTGGCTGGGATTTCTGGGAGTTGTAAGCCAAAACACCTGAGGACCCACAGGTTGAGAACCACAGCTATAGACACTGGTTTTTCATTGGCAGAAATGGGGGTAGACTTATGGCTACCCCCATTTCTAAACCACCTTTCAAAATATGCTGAATACTTATAACGTACTCCTTTGGATGCAATGTCAACAGCAGGGTCAGAGTGGCTTCTCCTTTCTCTTATTGAATCTATTTGCTGGCCAAAAGTTGTTGTTAGAAAATTCTTCTCAGCTGTCATATCATTTTGGGACTTTGACATTTCTAGAAAAAGAACATGTGAAGAAAAACGTATTGAACAAATTCAATATGTTTATGTCAATCCCTCTACATTTTGTTAGATTTTAGCCATTCTTGTAAGCCGCTCCGAGCCCCAGGGGAGTGGCGGCATATAAGTTCAAATAATAAAGAAATAAATTTGCGGTTTTGACATTTATGATTCTATAGTCAACGACCTTCAATTAAGATAGAGGACTAGAGATTTTGGAGAGAGAACACCTTTCTAGGAATCTCGATCCTCCAGTACAATTCTATGGTCAGTTTCCAATGGAACTCAATGACAGAATGAATGCTGGAAAACTCAAATTGCCTAGGCAGGTATTATCTCTGGGATCTTCCACGCAGTCATATAACCCAGAATATCAAGGCAGAAAATCCCACAATATCTGCTTTGAACTGGGTTATCTGAATCCACACTGCCATATACTCCAGTTCAAAGCAGATAACGTGGGATTTTATTTAGCTGTGTGGAAGGGGTCTCATAAAAAAAACCAGCATTTTCTTAGTTCACGGTTTTTCACTTTCAAAGGGATGCCGTGCCCCAAGCCCATCAAATGTGGAGGCTTGACTGTGAAACGGAAATTCTAAAAGAAAAACAAACATTCTGATGCATTTAAATTAGCAGTATATTTAAGCCCATGGTCAGATCAGAGTCAGAACTACTTCAAACTACTCTACTAGAAAAATAAAAATGTGGGGGCTCCAAAATAAAAGCCAGTATGGGAGATACTGAGCTCGGTTGAGTTGAGGGACAATAACATAAGCAAACATTTAAATAAACAAAAAAGTTGACTGCAAACCACACATCTGCTTTTTGTGTTGCCAAACATGCAGTTTGGCAATGTAAGGTTCCTGAATGAAAAGGAAATACTCCGTAATTAACTTCCCCATTTAAGGGGCAGCAAAAGAAGCTGAATAGAAATAATTGTCTCTGTTCCTGGAGGGGGGCAGTCCTATCTATCTATCTATCTATCTATCTATCTATCTATCTATCTAATCAGTGGTTCCCAACCTTTTTGACCAGGGATCACTTTGACCAGGGATCAGTCTCCAACATTAGTACCAAAAGGGTTATGAATCGGTTTTTGGTTAACGTTAGATTCAGTTTGGTTATTTGGAGTGCTGTTTCAGAAAATTGCATTACATAGGCGACATCAGCTCTACTTTCTGATACAGAACATTTGCCACCTAGTAATCACCATCTGCTCACCCACAGAAAACTATATTTAATAATCTAGAACTGATGTGATAGTAGTAATCTTTCGTGGGTAGTCAGCCTCTCCCCTCCTGACATCCCTGTTGTTTCGGCACTATAAGAGGGTTTCACGAGACCAATCACTCTTGTTGATGTGTGATTTCGAGGCAACAGTGTAGTAATGGTGAGGCTGTGGACCATATTTTTGTTCTTGCGGACCACTGGTGGTCCACAGACCACAGGTTGGGAACCATCTATCTATCTATCTATCTATCTATCTATCTATCTATCTATCTATCTATCTATCTATCATCTCAACAAACCTACTTTGAATGTAGAAGATCATTCAGGTTTTCTGAAAATAAAGTAGGACAAAGCTTTCTGATTTTTTAATGAACATATAACAAATACCAGTGCAACAGAAGAAAAGGAGAGGGTCAGATACTCAGGGAGTACAACTTCAGTAGCCCACAAACAGAATGCTCAATAAATCTGGGAGCTGTTGTTTATCAATATCTCCTTTAACTTTCATTAGGTTACATCCCTAATTATTTGCAGTTTCTCAAGTCACTCCTGACACGAAAAAAAATCCCTAATTATTTCAGTGGTATGTCTTCATCCACAATGCACTCGTTATTCTACTGTTAATTGCCAAAGCTTCACTGCATTGAATTTTGGGATTTGTGGTGAGGCACTAGAGCTATCTGGCTACAAACTCTAAATACCCTCTCCCTATACTGCATCCATGGGAAGTTGCCATGGCACTTAAATGTAATGTAGTACCATAACTGTGCAGTGTGAACAGGCCCTTATAGCATTATAACATAGCAAAGTCCTTGAGAACACTTACTTCTGATATGTGAAGTTAAAGACAGAAACAGGTTTTCCATAGATCTATGGAAACTTTTATTCTGGTCAAGTTCCTGCAAATACAGTTCGAAGGAAAAGATAAAATGATAAATCCTGAGGTTGTTTGCTCAATGATTTTCATGTCACGTGCCCATTAAATGTTGCAACAGGAGCACATTTGCAAGGCTGCAAACACAGCTAGCATTTCTATAGCCAAACAATTAGAAGAAATGCTTTGGCATGAGAATACAAATGGTGATGTTTACTCAAAAGGACAGCGAGCCCAGTTCAGATCTTTTGTGTCTACCAAAACATGTGGCTGCTGTAATTACATTAAGAATAAAAGCAAATAAAATACATCAATTATTCTTTTAATTTATTTTTATAGGTTTTTTTTCTAGATAAGGAATTTAACAAGCCTTAAAATGTACAGCAGCTGGCACATAAACATTTGTGTATAGCAACTAACAAATACGTTCCTGCACATACCAGTTTGTGTACACATACGCATGCAAACAGACAAGTAACAATCCATTTTAAAGTTTTCTAAATTCTATATTTTTGTCTTACAAAAGCTAGTAAGCTTCACAATAATCTAAACAATTGAAAGTCATGAAACTTCATAGGAATGCAGGAAATACCCTCATTCCGAAGATTGTCATGAAAGCCATACACAAGGATGCCCTGATGTCTCACAAAAGAGAGGCTGAAGAGATGACAGGCCTCCCTTGAGCTCCTGTCCTCTCTCGGATTGCTGCAGCTTCCCTACTTAGGACATATTAATAGCCACGTCAACAACGAGCAAATGCATCTTACCACCTTCATGGAAAGTTTAGTCCTCTTCTAAAAATTATTTTTCACAACCAGTTCAATGCAGTGATCAGAAAATAAGAATGGAACTTGTGAGATCTAGGTTCACACTACATAATCTAATTACGTGTAACAGAAATAATAGCTAGCAATAGTCATAGATATATGTGTAGAATCTCCCTAGAAACAAATACATATATACATTACCACAGTGTTAACTCCAGTTGTGGACTCTGCAAATGGAGGGGGAGTTGGAGGAACCACTGATATATTGCTGAAAATTTAAGGGGAAAATAAATTGAAATGGTTAAAGCACATTCTTGCAAAGTTCTGTTTATTATAACCTCCTCTCTCTTGACCTTCAGGAAAAACTAAAAATGTGGCTTTGGGACCAAGCCTTTGATCAGTAACTTTTGAGTAGTGCAATAAGCGATTATGAAATAATGCAATGACAAATAGCACGGCCATGGATTATGATGTGTTGTTGTTGTTCATTCGTTCAGTCGTCTCCGACTCTTCGTGACCTCATGGACCAGCCCACGCCAGAGCTCCCTGTCGGCCGTCACCACCCCCAGCTCCTCAAGGTCAGTCCAGTCACTTCAAGGATGCCAATCCATCCATTTTGCCCTTGGTCGGCCCCTCTTCCTTTTTCCTTCCACTTTCCCCAGCATAATTGTCTTCTCTAGGCTTTGCTGTCTCCTCATGATGTGGCCAAAGTACTTCAACTTTGTCTCTAGTATCCTTCCCTCCAGTGAGCAGTCGGGCTTTATTTCCTGGAGGATGAACTGGTTGGATCTTCTCGCAGTCCAAGGCACTCTCAGAACTTTCCTCCAACACCACAGCTCAAAAGCATCGATCTTCCTTCGCTCAGCCTTCCCTAAGGTCCAGCTCTCACATCCGTAGGTTACTACAGGGAATACCATGGCTTTGACTATGCGGATCTTTGTTGCCAGTGTGATGTCTCTACTCTTTACTATTTTATCGAGATTGGACATTGCTCTCCTCCCAAGAAGTAAGCGTCTTCTGATTTCCTGGCCACAGTCTGCATCTGTAGTCATCTTTGCACCTAGAAATACAAAGTCTGTCATGGCCTCCACGATTTCTCCCTCTATTTCCCAGTTGTCAATCATTCTTGTTGCCATAATCTTGGTTTTTTTTTATGTTTAGCTGCAACCCAGCTTTTGCACTTTCTTCTTTCACCTTGATTAGAAGGCTCCTCAGCTCCTCCTCGCTTTCGGCCATCAGAGTGGTGTCATCTGCATATCTGAGATTGTTTGATTTAGATTGCATGATTTTAATGATGTTTTAATGTTTTATGTTTTTAACTGTTTGGATTTTTAATGTATTTGTTTATTTTATTGATGTTTATCTGTGTAGCATCTATGGCAGGCAGCCTCAGAGTATGTGGCCTCACAACCTCTAAGGATGCCTGCTATAGATCTGGGTGAAAAGTCAGGAGAGAATGCTTCTGGAACATGGTCATACAGCCCGCAAAACTCACAATAACCCAACATTACACCTGCTAGGAACCTCAGGAACAACTTATCGTGCCACATTATCATCTCCAGAATGAGATGACCTTCTTGTCCTTACCTTAGTTCTTGAAAACATTTTAAGAGCTTTGCACTAGCAGTTGCACATCTGCCTATAAAGTGAGACAAGAACACACAAAGATTATTTAGTAACAAGATTTTTGAACTCAAGTATCAGTTTTTGTTACTTCAATTTTTGGTCAATTCTTTTTTGACACACTTTTATTTAGCAAAATAGTAGATGTTCTCGAGCGATTGTAAGTGATTTTTCTTAAAACAAAGGTTTAAGTTTTAGTTCTGTGTCAGAATGAGTGACAGAAAGTCACATTACAGCTGGAACATTCAGCAGTCACATAAGGCAGCACACTTTCCTTTTGAAACATAACCCACTTTGAACAAATGTATATCAATAACTATCCACCATTAAAGTAATGGTATAGATAATCTCTGTGCTTATACAACTTTGGGCTAATAACCAGCTAAAAAGGAAGTAATCTATATTATTCAATTATTAAACATCAATATGTAACAAAATGAAATGTGAGACATAAAAAAGCAATTGATGTCAATTATTAACAGTGAATGCCTCAATGTACTACTACAGCGATTCTATATCAGATCAATTATTAACAATACAGAAAATAACCCTTTAGCTTAATTAGCTGCACTGGCAACAAAAATTATTATCTAATAGTGAGTGAGTACTTGATCTCCTAAAATCTCCAGATAGGGAATTAACTCTGTACTCTGCAACAACCATGTGGCAATAACCCCACTGGTTCAGGTTTGCTATCTGTATCACTATAAATTAGACCAGGGGTCCCCAAACTAAGGCCTGGGGGCCAGATACGACCCTCCAAGGTCATTTACCTGACCCTCGCTCAGGGTCAACCTAAGTCTGAAATGACTTGAAAACACACAACAACAACAACAACAACAACAATTCTATCTCATCAGCCAAAAGCAGGTCCACACTTCCCATTGAAATACTGATAAGTTTATATTTGTTAAAATTGTTCTTCATTTTAATTATTGCATTGTTTTTAAGTGGGTTTTTTTTTTTTTGCACTACAGATAAGACATGTTGAGAGTGCATAGGAATTCATTCATGTTTTTTTCAAATTATAATCCGGCCCTCCAACAGTTTGAGGGACTGTGACCTGGCCTTCTGTTTAAAAAGTTTGAGGACTCCTGAATTAGACAATCCTTCCACTGTGACATTGCAGAGAAAAGAACATGAAAGAAAAGAAGTGAGAAAGAAACCATCTATGTACACATCTGAAGGAGAGGAAATCATTCTTATTAGGGCCAGAGGTTTTAAGGAGACTAGTTACGTTGGCTTGGTATTCAGCCCCAAACCAGGACATTTCTATTTGTTGCACGGCTGCAAGAGGAAGGAAGGAAGATATAGCTCCTCCAGGCCAATGTTTGATGCAAATTGGTGACATCTATTTTAATACTCAGAATACATTTTAACTGATAGGGCCATAAATTAAGATTGTGTTTGTTTAATTATTCTAATTTTAGTTCTAATGTGTTACTGTAATAGGAAAAGAATAGATTTTCACTCTAACAAAGAGAAGTGTTTGTTTATTAAATGGGGAGGTGGTGGAGCACAATGGTAGACAACATCATTGACATGCATTAAGATAAGAGATTCATTTCTGTCATTCTAGTAAAACATGTTAGAGAAATACCTCTGCAAAGTTATAACAAATTAAAATATACCATGTAGAATTAAAGAGGTCATAGTTTGACATTGATAATAGTTCATAAAAATAGCACACCCTTCTCCCATGTATTGTTGTGTGCCTTTAAGAGTCATTTCTGACATACGATGACTTTAAGGGTTTCTGGGCAAGATTTGTTCAGATGGAGTTTGCATTTGCCTTTACTTTCCTCTGAGAACATGACTTACCCAAGTGGAGACACGAACTCTAGTCTCCAGAGTTTTAGTCCATTGCTCAAACCACTATACCACCTTTAAGTGCCACCTTTAAGTGCAATAGACAACTTTTAATACAGCATTCTTCAATGATGTACCATGATTATGCAACATCACTCACACACACACACAAACACAAGTCTTTGGAGTGACACTAACCATTTTATTCCCCTATGTTGCTAATGGGATAAAGCTAAGTGAGGAAATCCATCAAAGGAACTGCTTTTATCTACAGAATTTTAATAACTTTTTTTATCCCTCTGCAGGCCCAAGGTCCTTTTCCAGAGGACTGGGAAACCCTTTAGAGACAGTTTAGAGGTTCTGTGAATAGACTTGTTGCAGAAAAGCTCTGAAATACATTACCAGATTCACATGGGATTTATATCCAAAGATTATTGTGTTCCTATTTTTGACCATAAGGTCGATGGTTCGAATCTGGGGAGCGGGGTAAGCTCCTCCTGTTAGCCCCAGCTTCTGCCAACTTAGCAGTTTGAAAGCATGCAAATGTGAGTAGAATCAATAGGTACCGCTCCGATGGAAAGGTAATGGCACTCCATGCAGTCATGCTGGCCACATAACCTTGGAAGTGTCTATGGGCAACGCTGGCTCTTCGGCTTAGAAATGGAGATAAGCACCACCCTCCAGAGTTGAACTCGACTAGACTTAATGTCAAGGGTAAACATTTACCAATTTCCCACCTGTTCTTTGTTGCTTAAAAAAATACTGCTGGTAAACATTTTCAACCAGATTAATATTAATCATAATTTTTTTTAAAAAAAATCTGTTATTAGCCACATTTTATTTGTAATCTGTTTTTCAACTAATACTCTCAAACCATTTAGTCAGATTGATAGACAGCTAAAAAAAATACAGCAAGAACAAGAGAGAATTAGCTCAGTTGCATGGTAAAAAGACACCTGAATTGAAATGTCTATGTTAACTCTTGATTCAATATAATCAATTATTTTTGAAAGGAAGATAATTAATCAATAAAAATATAACTGACTGACAACCCTCTCTTTCTAGTTCCCCATTATTAACACTGTGCCAATTATGTGAGAAATTTGTGTTCCTCTCACAACAATTACTGTGGGCTGATCGTTCAGACAAGCTATTAAGACAGAACAGCGCTGGGAAATTCAGTTCACTGCTGTTAGCCTGTAAATTTATTCTTGCTTCAAGAGAGCCACAAAATTGGAACACTATTTTCTTTACCTGCAATTCTGCACATTGTCAGATTGCTTGAATTCCATTGATTTCAAAAGGTTTTAAGCAATTAAAGCTTGTATAAAATATCAACTTCTAATCAGACCATATTTTGCATGCTTTGAAATGCTCATTACTACCTGAATGCTCAGACACTGCATTACTGATATAAATAGTTAGGAAAAAATAATCCTTGTCATTTTTATTTATTTCCAACTCATTGTTGCTGTTGTATGCTTTCAATTCAAACCTAAGGCAAATATGTCATGGGATTTTCTGGAGTTGAGATTTTTTGACTCACTCAGGGTCACCCAGTAGGTTTCTACAGCAGAACACAGTATCAAACCCAAGTCTCCAAAGTTGCAGTACAACACTCAAACTTTTTTGTTACCCTGGGTTTCTATTTCCAGCTCATACTACATAACAAAAAATCTAATTGGTTCTGTGGAATGCTTGCCGTGTATATGTTGTGCGCCGCCCTGAGTCCTCTTCAGGGTGAGAAGGGAAGAATATAAATGGTTCAAATAATAATAATAGTTGGAAAAACTGCTCAGGTTCCTGTTGAAGCTACTTATCTTAATGCATCTCATGACCAGGAGAACACTGCAGCTATCATTTTCTAGTATTCTGATTTGCAGGAGCTTGGAAACCCTTTGGTTGGGCTACTGCCTGGTTTAAGAGTTAGTTTTTAGGCCACATTTAGTCACCGACAACTGTAAACCTTATTTGAGAGCCAACATTGTGTAGTGGTTTGAGTGCTGGACTAGGGCTCTGGAGACCAGGGTTCAAATCAACTCTTGGCCATGTTACCTTAAGCATGTCACACTCTCTCAGCGGAAGAACATGGCAAACTACCTTTGAACAAATCTTGCCAATAAAGCCACATGATATGTTCACCATAGAGCTGTCTTAAGTTGAAAGGTACATTATACTTATATATTGTTGAAAGCAAAATGTGAAATAAAAACATACTTGCATTCGGTTTAACATTGCAGAAAAGTTTTTTTTTTTTTGCTTTTAATAACTACCTTCAGTGGGGAATTTCTTTGCTCGGATATCAAAGAACCACTCTCCTGTTTTCACTTTCATATCTCTGCCAAAAAAAACATAAATGTATGAAGCTTCTACATATGTTTCAATAACATATTTTCCATATTTTTAACATGTTATCCATGCAAATAAATTCTTATCCATGCAAATAGAAGGCTTTGATTGGGACCCAATCTGGATTGGAACCATAGTGTGAGGAGAGGAATAATTATTGCCTTCTGTCCCTATGTTGCCATTCTACAAAGCTACTGAACTCTGAAAATCAACTCAAACCTGTCATAAACTCTATCAGAAATCCAGACTAGACCCTTTATTCTCCCTCCTAGGGCCCTATGCTATCTCTCTGTCTTTTCCTTAAAATCCCTGCTCTTTCCTTCTTCTTCCCATCCTTAAATACATGCTACACCCTTCCTTTTCTTCCTTTTCCGCAAATAACTACCCTCCAACCATTACATATATGAGCTATAAGATGGGTTGACCAATAGATATGGCCCTCTCTCTTTCCAAATGTCATATATCAGACAACAAATGACTCAGATATGATGTTTAATCAATTTAACAATATTTCTCACTCATAAGCATAGCAGATGGTGCACATCCATAAGGAGGGATTCAGAATTATGCGACATCCGGAACAAACTTGCTGGCTGCACCCATTGCATACAGCACCTCTGTTGATCAGTCTTCCAAGAGACTTCTGGCAACGGGCACATGACTTCACATGGTTTTCATCGCTTGTGCTCTTTGCCCCCCTCCAGCGAAGCTGCTGCAGCTGTAGTTTCAGGTTCCTGCCCTCAACCAGGAGAAATTGAGGTGAGTGCATAAGCAAGAAAATATGCAGACATTTTCAAGTTGTTCAACTGCGGCATGAGCCCTCTCCAGCATAACTGACAGAAATGGATGATTGACACTGCAGTCCAACAACATATGAAGGAACACAACTTCCCTAACTCTGATCTCCTTGGAAGATGACTAGATGGTCACCCAGTCTTCAGGCTAAAGAGTCATCCCTGAAGCTCATCTAGAGGCTGTTTTGGGACAGATTAATGTAAACAAGCTAATATTAACAAAATTGAATTAATGTGGGCAAGGAAAGCAGGCAAATCTGGACAGAAGATGCACTGTTTCTCAATGGGGTTCACAGTTCCTCTGTCTGGGGGACATCCTAGACTATCCACTGAAATACAGATCTTAACTGTTGTGGTCAGGACTGTCTTTTACCAATTGAAGTTAGTGCACCAGCTATGATCTTATCTGGATGCAGCAGGTCTATCATGAGTCACTCATCCTTTGGTTACCATCAAACTACACCAGTGCATGCAAATGTAATTTGTGTGTAGAATCTCTGGAGACAGTTTGCAAGCCTATCCTAAGCAGATGCTAATTGGAGTAAAATCTTTAGAATGCATTACACCTGTTTTATGCCAGTTGCCAGGATCATCTATTCACTACACAGTGCTATTCATACTTGTAGCATTAAACCCCTAAAGAGTTAGGGAATGGCTGCTAAAGGAATTGCATGCACTTACACAAAAAATAAAATTGCATAGCACCAAAACAATACTTAACTGAATACAAACAATTCCCCATACAGTGTCAGAATGAAGAAATAGAGGGGCTCAAGATCTGAAAAAAGCTTACTTCTTTCCCTTCCCCAGATTACCTTTTTGTTTTTAAAGTGTCTTGGACTAAATACTTTTATCTGGAATTCTATCATGAAAACGACAAGAAGGGTACAGTAGCAAACATGAGAAAAATCAAAACAGATCAAAAACAGGGTGGAAAATACGGCACATCATATTCCAAAATGTTAACATACCTTATTCTTTCTTCATCTATCCCTCTCAATGTTTCATCACGATGCAGGACTTCTAAAATAATCTTTTGCTCCAGGCCTTTAAGTAAGTTGAGATTAAGTTCTTGGGACATTTTCTCTCCTACTTCTAACAATATTGTTTAGAGAATTCTGTGTGTCCCTTCAAAGATAAGTGTTGCCACAGCCCAGCAACAGGTTTCAGGGGGAAAAACTGAAAAGCTGTGAGTACTTTTAACACAGAGCTGTCTGTTGATTTCTGGTTCATTAGAAATCCATTTACACTTTGTCATACTCCTAGAGAGAGATGCAAAGAGTCTTTTTCAATGCTGGTCATTGTTTTTGTACTCATCACCTGTTGAACACACTTGGTTTTCTGGGTCACAGATATTGCCGCTGTCTCCCATAAACACCAGGACTTCAAAGTCCTAATCTGGTGCAAGTAGTACCTAAGAAGATAAAATTATAATGCATTTGGATATATTAATACATAATTGTGTACTTCAAACTAAGAAACAACAGGAAAACAAGAAAGTTATCCTCCTTACCTTGCTTTAACTTTAGTGATTTCATGAAAGTATTAAATTGTATTTCTCAAGACCTATGGAAGAAGAAAAAATGAAAAAGGTTACAGTTTCCCAAAGTTCGCATTTGTATTCTGCAATACAGGGCTAGCTCCCAGTTCTTCAAAAATGAGAAATACACACTGTCTTGATATGCATATCACAAAGTTACCAAACCACAAAAAAGCTATGAATCATAGTTTGGACTAATAACAGAGAGACAAATTCTCCCGACCATAATAATGCTTACTCATCCTGCTGCAAAATAAGATATCAAAGTTAAAGGTTTGTTTGCAAGTCAGTTTGCTGTACAAAAAAGTAATAACGGAATAATGAAAACAAGCAAATTTGTTTTCGGACAGCACCTTAGTTTGCAACAAAAATGAAGATATCTTAACTGAAATTCACATCCTTCTTCCTACATTCTGTTGCTTTCTTATCTTGCTGAAATGAGCATGTACAATGGTGCAAAGAACAGCATATTTTTTAAATCAATCAATTATTTATAGGCCTTGATAGTTAATTGTCTTGTCTTTGAAACTATGGTGCCTGCAGAAGCAGATAAAAACGTTTTGCACAGAACAATGCTATTATCACTGACCACACACAGCCCATATTTGTCCCGGCAAGGGGTGAGCAGACTATACAGTTAACTGGGAAAACCACATCTGCATTGACTTATAGATGACCACAGTAGACACTAGAAGTGTGTCTTCAATTTTCCTGTTGGCTTATGGTGACCACATTAATTTCTTTTTTAAAGCAAGGAGTACTCTGAGGGGACTTTGCCAGGCCTTCCTCTAAAATATAGCCTACACAGGACTTCTTAAACCTTTCCACTCGGGGTGCTGCTTTTGGTCTGAGAAATGTTTATGTGACCCCAGGTATAAAAAACCAAACATTTACTGATAACAGAATGACATTTCTAAGGCATTTGATACAGGCTAATTTTCATTTAGTCATGAAGTACAGCTGGGACATATTCTGCAGAGTCCACTGTAAACACTGCACCACACATCCGTGTAAATGTCTAAAACAGCCACTAGGTGATGTTCAGAAAACTTTTACAGCTGCCAATTTTTTCAGGACTCTAATATTGAGGTAAGGAGACCTATGTTTGGGGTCATGGTCCACAGTTTAAGGTACAGCGGCCTACAGTAAGGACCTGCTGTTTTTTTGACAATCACCCACCCATACTAACTAGGACTGATCCTAATTAGATTCCAAAATCAGACAGGATCCAGTACATTTAGGATATTTAAGCCTCTGAAGAATTTTGGAGAATATTCAGAGATTCAAAATAAGGTGCAATTTAATGAGGTCTCATTCATCATCTGGGATTTTTCATGTACAAGACAGGACATTCTACCAACAGCTGTAAGGTCATGAAGGTAGAGGAATTATGGGGTTCTGTTGGGATTCTAATCACAACTCTTGTTTCCATTCCTGTGAACATAAAAAGCTGTTATGCTCCTAACAGATTGCTTTGAGATCCAAATGAGCCAGAAAAAAAGCTTTCTACAGTTTCAGAAAAGACTCTAATTTCACTCCGTATCAACAACACATGTCAAAACATGTTGGTGAATTAAGGAAATAGCTTATTATTCAGAGCATCACAAAGCAAGGTGTACTTCACCATGGCAATGTAATGTGTACTACTGTACTGAGTAAACAAGAACCATTCATAACATACCACGGCAAGCTGTCTAAGAATGATAAAGACTTCATTCAAAGTGTTCTGAACTGTATAAATCTGTATTACAATTTAACTATTTATTTTAGAAAATAAAGATATCCTCAAAACATACAATTAAACCCAAAATCCACAATACAGTTATGCCTTTATTTTAAAAGGTAAAGGTTTTCCCTGACATTAAGTCTAGTTGTGTCTGACTCTGGAGGGTGGCACTCATCTCCTTTTTAAGCTGAAGAGCTGGTATTGTCTGTAGACATCTTCAAGGTCATGTGGCCAGCATGGAGCACCGTTACCTTCCTGCAGAAGTGGTACCTATTGATTGATTCACATTTGCATATTTTCAAACTGCTAGGTTGGCAGAAGCTGGGGCTAACAGCAGGAGGTCACCCCGCTTCCCAGGTTCGAACCACCAACCTTTGGGTCAGCAAGTTCAGCAGCATTTATTGAGCCAACTAAAAAGCACAAAATGCATAATGCAAGCTTCCAAAGCTTCACTGGCTTCTTGATCAGATAAAGATGTTAAAAATCATACAGAAGAAGTAAGTGACAATGATAGAATTATAATTTTACATTTTGTCTCAGGTGTTCCTTCTCTTGCCGATTAAGATGGCCCATGGATTTCATTGCACTTTGTGTATTGGTTTGGTTGTAAACCGCACTGAGTCGCCTACGGGCTGAGAGAGTGCGGTATACAAATAAAGTAAATAAATAAATAAATTGCAGGCACACTCCTGTTTAGTTATGTAAGGAAGCACAAAAAGGAGGAAATTATAGGGGATAAAATTTCAAATCTGTCAGCAGCAGCAGAGTAACTTTTACTGAGATCCACGCTAACTTTGTCCTGATTGAGCTTTTCTTAGGCAGAATTGTATATGTTGCATGGCTAGCACAGTCATCTCTAAATACATTTTCTTTAGAAAACAGTTCACACATTTGTTTGTGATATGTTTCTGGCCCACAATAAAAGGACTGTCTGTCTTAGAAACAACAGAAGCACTAGGCAGAGGTCACAAGTCATTTACTGTGGAATATGCTCAGAGGCGTGAATGAAGTCACTCATATGAGAGTTGCAGCTTGTAACAATAGCGCTGAATTGCATTGTGAAGGAAGGAACGAACAGAAGTAGTGTAACGGATCATTTCATCCTACATAGTCTCAGAGAAGTAAAAAAAATCAGAGTTTAGACTGAAATGTGTAAACACACCTTTTCAAAATAGAAACTAATCTGACTTCAATAATAGAATACTTAGTTTTAAATACAATGTTAAATGAACTTTTTAAAAGTTGCATAATTATGTTCATCTTCTGGATGGCTATTAGATATCTATTAACGAAGCTTGTATCAAAGTAAAGAAAATGGGTAGAGCTGGATATAGAATCCTTCAGGTGAACATGAACTAGATCAGAGTGGGTTGTTTGTCGACCTGCGGATGATGTTGGAAAGCAATATAATAAGCAACTACACAAAAGGGAGCAAGTAATGTCATCTGCCTTGCAAATATCTCAGTAACACGATATGAAAATATAAACACTTCATTGTTACCAAAGATTTTCTTACCTTCACTCTCCACAGAGATAGATGCACACATGGTTTCCTTTTAATACAGAAAAAAACTCATTTGCCCTTCTCATCCGTTTTCTTCTTGTTGAACCCATATCTGACATATAGGACCTCCGTATGCTTCATTGTATTGTTCTACAACCATCCATATCGAAACCACTCGCTATAGATGTAGTTGGCTATGAACAGCAGGCTTTAAATGTCTTAATGGTTGGAAAGGGAACAGCTTGCTGTGAGAAAGACAAAACTGCCCTCATCAACATATACTTGAAACCTCTAAGCCACCTAACAGGAAGTCTGGTGGCAGTTAAGTATATTTTCACACAGCTTCTTCCTCTCTCCCTTGCTCACAATAGATGTGTGCAATACTGCAAACCTCAACTTCCGCAAAATTTCGGATTGAGAACAGAGACCTTTCATTTACTAGAAATGACAATTTATTTCTTTTTTTTCTACTCTTGATATCTTGATGTGTCATGTGGTTATCCACTGATGTTTTACCAGTACATTGTAATAAATAATAATTTTTGCTATTGCCATTGATACTTTCTCACCATCTTACCCATATCAAAGACCCATGTTTTCAGACCCAAGTGATGACCTTTTCTTCTTTTCCAGCTTTCTAATCATACATTCCTCACAGCTGGGTGGGGTGAAGGAGAATTCCACACATCTCCGAGTCTATCCAGCTCAGTTCTTTAATAGTATCAGAGAAGAAATCAGAGAAATGAGAAGTAACAATAGGCTTCTTTTAGGAACTTATAACTTATGAGGATTGCTAAAATTCCTTCCAATGGGAACCCCACACAAAATATCAAGTTTTTCTTTTCTTTCGGGAACAACCACTGTTTTTGTGAAATTTCTAGTCAGTATCTTACTCTTCATCCTTATTACCCAACTATTTAGCAACAAGCAGACCTCAAACTAACTAAGGGGACAAATATTTTTAAAAACTCCTCAAGGGGGTATAAGGACCAACATAGTTACTCCAAACACATTCTTGCCACATAATGTACCAGTTTTCTAGAACAGGGTTTTATACTGGAAGCAGAAACGCACAATACTCAAATAATGTCAGTTTCTTGTGTTTTGTTGTTGTTGATGATTTTTTTGTCATGTCAGGAGCGACTTGCAAAATTGCAAGTTGCTTCTGTTGTGAGAGAATTGGCGCCTGCAAGGACATTGCCCAGGGATCACCTGGATGTTTTTGATGTTTTTACCATCCTTGTGGGAGGCTTCTCTCATGTCCTCACATGAGGAGCTGGAGCTGATAGAGGGAGCTCATCCATGCTCTCCACAGATTTGAAGCTGTGACCTGTTGATCTTCAGTCCTGCCGGAAGAGGGGTTTAACCCACTGCACCACCGGGGGCTCCTAAATAATG